TTGATTTCATCTATACTTGAAAGTGGAAGCTTAATGTTAGTTAGATTGGTAGCAGTAGTGGTGATGGGGAGGTGAAGCCTTATACAGTAATGGACAAAAGTATATAGACAAATTAATATTGATTTCTTTTTTAACTTGTTTTATTAATACACCAACCTATAGTAGAAATCACATATTTTTTATTCACGTCACAAAAAACCACGATTGGTGGTCGACTTGCGTAAAATGGCGAGCCATATAAATTTAATGTGCTAGAAAATGAAGAAGATATATTAGCATGTCTCACCGACTACAAATATGTCTACATGGTTGCCGCTTATGCACAGGCTTATTTTGTCGAATTCGCAAGTTTACGGCATGTCGTAAATAATATCATATCGTCATTTTGACGTTCAACTATGAGGTTAAAAATGCCATAATACAGGAAACATGATATTAGGATGTTTCCCATTGACATGACAGTTCATATTGTCAAAGCCTATCTTCTGTAATGTGTTCCGCAGTATTTCAATATCGACTTATCTCCGACTGCTGAGAATTCCTACAACATACCAATTTTGAAGATGTATGGCATCACTGATGGTTTGAAGCCTATGAGGTGCATTAAAGGTTATGTGACTCGAACCATAAATAAATTCATTAGACTCCCTTCAATAAAAAATTAATTGAAAAAAACTGGAACTATGAAGGACAAAAATATATAGACAAAACAAAACAATTATAGAAAAAAGAAGCAAAGTTCATTGAATTATAGATAATCAACCATGTTTGTGTTAATATTCTGTAGCATAACCATCATTATCAATCACCGCCTGGCATCGTCTCGGCATAGATTGTAGAAGTTTCTTGATATAAGATTCATCAATCTGTCTCCACTTTTGCTTTAAAGCGGCAAAAAGTTCATCCTTGTTTGAATAATGTTTATCTCGTATTTGCTTATCTAAGTATTCCCATAAATTTTCAATGGGGCTTATATCGGGAGACTGTGAAAGCCATTTGAGAACCGAAATAATTTCTTTGCGAGATGTGAAGTGTGCTTCGGGTCATTATCTTGCTGGAACACTGATCTTAAGGGCATATTGTCTTCCATATAGGGTAACATGACATGCTTTAGTATGTCTGTGTATAGAAACTTAATCATAATGCCATCTATTCTATGTAAAGGTCCGATCCCAAGCCCCGAAAAGCACCCCCAAACCATAACAGACCCGCCTCCATATTTGACAGTGGGCAAAGCGTACTTGGGGTTCAATCTTTGTCCACTAGGACATATTGAACTTTGATTCATCACTGAAGCATACCCTCTTCCAGTCACAGATGCTCCAAACAAGATGCAACCGTGCAAATAACTTCAAATCATTTAATCTTCTACTTATAGTTTTCGTAGAAACACTGACAATTCCTTTTGTCTCGATTTCGGCTTTTATTTGTCTTGGGGTTTTAAACGGATATTTGGACGAAATTACTTTTATTAATCTAACTGATCTAGCATTTAGTTTTCTAGGCCGACCACTTTTCTTAGAGGCTTCCAAGATACCTTTTTGTTTATATTTGTTCAATATTGCCCAAACTGCTTTACGCTTCAGCTGCAAATGTTTGGCAATATCGACTTGACGTTCGCCATCTTTGTATAACTCAGTGATCTTAGTTTTTGCATCGATAATGTAAAATCAAGGAATTTAGTTTTTCTACTAATAACGAATACAGGTATTTAGGTAAATATTCATATTTGTCTATATACTTTTGTCCATTACTGTAACTACACCTACTTTGACGCATTTACAATGTAGTTTATTTGACCTACCATCACGATAGTAAGTCATATATAAAGTACAATACAAAAAAAGCATTTAAGCATTTTGAAGATGCAAACAACAGATAAAATGTATAAAAGTCCAACTGTCGAGAAAATGTATAAATTAATAATCTATTGTGCCTCCACGTTGTCTTATGACTAAGAAACAGGTCTGAGCATACTTCTAATCAGATGATCGATTTTCTCTTGATGTACAAGTATCTCATCCCAGGCTACTTGTACCTCGTGCTGAAGAGCCACTGGAGTGTGTGTGGAAGACAAGGAAACTCAGTACTCTACAATTATCAGGATTTAATTAGCCCGCTCACGATACAGGTTTCACCATAGAAGCCTATACTAGGCCACTGATGATTTCCGTTCTAAGCACTGAGTGCACGATGATCGTTTCAGTTCCCCCTCTATGTACTTCGCTCCTGGTGAATAGAAAGCACCTGATGAAAGCTTAAAATAAACATATACATGGCGTGAGAACAAGGGGATCGACTCAAAAATTTCCCCCACGTACCTCCAAGACACAGATCGCCATTTCCTCGATAATTAACAAATCTAATTTTCTCTAGCACAGGTCAAGAGTGCCCCGCAACTTCAACGTAACGTTTGCGCGATAAGTAGTAACGATCGCGCGGAATTACGGATCGTAAAAACGGAGCAAGCGGTGCAAAGCAAAAGAGTTAATATCGGTGTCTTGTCGGCAATTTGCCGGGAGCCGGGATGAGGGGTTGGTGGGGGGTGATTTATGTCGCCGGAGGGTGAGAGAGGAGAAATTCGCTCACGTGTTGGCCGGTAGAGCCGTAAAGCTGGAGTTTTTCCGGGGGGTAATTAGGAGGGATGCCCCTTTGTTTTGTTGTGCTGGGAATTTGTAGCATTCTCCAGGACCTAGTCCTTTAGGTCGATTGCTGGAATGACGATTCAAGATGTTAGAGTTGCGATGTCCACAACGTGTTTTTTTTTGTCTGGATCAGCAGCTAAGGCACAGCTGGAGTACGACGACTGTTAAAAAAAGGTGAAATATAATTTAGGAATGCTTCAGGCCATGTTTCATGTTGGCATCGCGGAGCACCCCACTGTAAACCGTTTAGTTCTTTTATAGTCACAGTGACCGAAAATGTTGTAACAGATTTATCTATTCCGGGCTTTTGTGCTCTTAGTAGCATAGCTTGATGTCAGGATGATTACCTTTATTCTGTCTAAAAATGTATGTACTGCAAGGTACCTCAGTCATTCCTCTGCCTATCGCAGCATTTCCGGCGAATTATACAGGGTGGCCCATAAGTTCTTTGAGCTGCAAAAAAAGGAATAAAACCAAACTAGTTACATTATGAAGAATTATTATATTTTGTTATCATCTTTATTGAATGGGAATTATGTTTTAAAAATCACATCGTCTAAATGCAATCCATTACGATCACGCACTTGTCGATGACTGCGCGGCAAGTCAACACTGTAATGCTTGCCATTTCTCTTCGGATATTTTCTTTCAGGACATCAACTGATCGCGGAGTGGTGTCATGCACTTTACTCTTGAGGTAGCCCCATAAAAAGAAGTCCATTGGGGTCAAATCTGGTCTACGTGGTGGCCAGGAAATGTCTCCTCTTCGAGAAATTACTTTGCTGGGAAAAAGTTGACAGACGACGAGCATAGAAGTGTTGGAGGTGTGGGCAGTTGGTCCGTCCTGTTGAAACCAGGTCTGCGTATTATAGCCTGGCAAATTCTGCAACGTTGGTGTCAAAAACTCTTCTATCATTGCTACATACCGCTCCGAAGTAACAGTTAATGCGCGACCTCTGCCGTCCTCAAAAAAATAAGGGCCTACGATGCCATGCGCTGACATAGCAGCCCAAACTGTAACTTTAGGGCTGTGTAAGGGCTTCTGATGCTTACGCCTTGGATTTTCGGGGCTCCAATAACGGCAATTTTGTTTATTTACATGCCCGTTTAAATGGAAGTGAGCCTCGTCCGAGAGCAACACATTATTGAGCGAAGAAAATCGATTCAACATTTCATTCGCAAAGTTTAGTCTCTGAATAGCGTCACTATCTTTTAATTCCTGCACTAACTGAATTTGGTAAGCGTGCAGACGTAAATCTTTCCTTAAAATCAGCTGTAAAGATGTTCTGGGTACGTTTAGTGCACTGGAACGCTTACGAGTAGACTGGGTAGGATTTTGACGAACAGACTGTGCCACAATGTTGATGTTTTCTTCAATACGAGTTGTCCTTGGTCGACCCCACCGCTGTTTATCTAACGTCGAACCAGTCTCTTCGAACTTAGCAACCCAGTTCTTAATCGTTTGAGCTGTTGGACACTTTGTAAAATTGTGTAAATTGTGGTATTCTCGATATTTACGCCGCGCAATGGTTGCCGAATCATTATTTTGATAAAACGCGCGCACACAAAAAGCACGATCCGCTCCAGTGAAACACTCCATGGCGACTGAATTCCCAGACACTGAAGATACTGCCCCCACCTCGCCCGCGCCGCTCACGCTCACCCGTTAAATTTTATTCAAATTTGAAATTTCAAAGGACTTATGGACCACCCTGTATTACTTGCAATACCTAACAAGCTTCTGATAACAATATATTATACAGAATGATCTTACCAATGTATAATAGAAAACTTCAAAAGCTTCAATGAGTACTTCAAATAAAATTCCAAAATTGCAGTCAAACTGCAACTCCGACTCACACCAGTTTCTTGGATAAATCAAGTAAGAAGATCGCGAATCTGCTATCAGATCGGCGAGACGCCTTAAAACCCCCACATTTCGGTTTCAAATAGTACTCTTTTTATTTATGAACTACAACACGAACGCCTAAACACCCGTGGGCACCGTGGGCTGTATGAGGATAGAAGAGAACACGCATTCTAGAACAACCGCCTTAGAGATCCGCCGGGTGGTACCTCCACTTTTGACTGACCGAGACCGTCTACTTCCTACGGACAATCACAACATCTACAAATTCAACATGTAAATTCCGCGTCAAAGTTTCAATGCGTTTTATTGAAGGATTTTCATAAAAAATATTCTGATTCTGATGGCCTTATATTCTAGGTCTCTCTTTTTGAAACTTCTGCTACACACACTATAGCAATTACCTGGGGCTACCTCAGGCAGCATTTCAGATTTTGATACATATTGACAGAATTTCATGTTCTAAAAGCTGTTCTCCTTTGTTCCAGGTGACTTCTCGTTAGAAATCTTCCCAGTGATGCTGGACGACGACGCGAAGTACGAATGTCAGGTGTCTTCTGGCAGCCAAGGACAAAAGGGAATTCGAAGTCGCGTGGCGCAACTGACGGTGTTGGTACCGCCAGAACCACCCAGGATCACGCAGGGTGACAGACTGGTCACCACCGAGGATCGAGAGATTGAGTTGGAGTGTATCAGCTACGGAGGAAAACCGGCAGCTGAGATCACGTGGATTGATGGTTTAGGTAAGGCTACTGGATCCATCAACTCCTCCGAATACCACTGACAGTTGACATGTGAGGTGTGACAGACGACAGCCCCCTCTTGTCTCAAGACCTCACAAAGCCACCAAATCTCAATGACAAAGATAAAGTACATAGCCTAATGCATCGTACGTCACTGCTAACGACTCTGTGTACTGTGTTTCACTTTCCACGCCAGTGGCGAGAAGGTATTGTAATCGCGACGAATTTCGAAAGTGAGATATTACATTTTCTGATTTTGATTCGCTGTATTCAGACACCGACAGCTTTATATATTTATGCCGAAGATTTAAAACTCATCCTCGATGTGGGAACCACGAAAACCATAGGAGATACGTCGAGATAAATAAGGACAAAGTTGCGCATTTAGGTAACTAAGAAAATGGAACTTGGAAAGTTTCCAAAATCATATCTCGTTTTTTACTTCTTACGCCACGTGGCGAAGAAGTATTTTAATCGCGAAAGATATCGAAAATGGTATGTAAATCACCGAAAAAATTGATTTAGGGGCAGCATAGGTAAGGGCAAATGGAAAAATATCGCCCAAACCTCGTTTTTTACGTTTGATAGGTGCCTGTTCATTTTGAGATTTGTCGTTTTTATTTTCTTGTTCTTGTTTATTGTTGTTTTTTTTTTTGTGTTGTATCGTTATTTAGTGAACGTACCTACTCATGCTTTGATTCCATTGGAGTCTTTTGAACCCGTGCCTTTTTTATTATACGTGGGCATAGTTGACAATTTTTTTCTAAGAGGAGACAATTCGTTATATTTTATTTTAATAGCTCCTATTACAACCGGCTACTGAACATTATGCAATCTAACGCAAATATGTAGATTTTATCTAGGATGTTGAGAGCACGTGTTAAGCAGGTCAAATTTGTATTTCACATGCAATCAGTGATATCATTGTATACATCATTTACAATACACCATTGTATACCTGCATACAATTGTAATTGCATATGTCTTGATATCCAATGCATACAATAGCAAATATTAGATCACTTAGATCGCTTGAATATAATAGTGATTCTTTAATAACTAGAAACGGTATTCTGCATTGATATTTTTTTGTTTTGTATGTAGCAGTTCATATTTGAAAACAAAATGAACATGATCCAAGTGATCATGTGCGGAAAGCTCAGGGTAAATCTGGTAGACGCCATTTTTTAGAAAATGTTCATCGACTTGAAAGGTTTAGTCGCCCAGTGAAATTGGTTGTTAAATGCAAAAGGTCTTGAGAAACAGTCGGTGTCAGTGTGTGAAAAAACGTACAACAGTAGATACAAAAATACTAAAATTAGCGACATAACAGATGCCTTCACAGATGTAATAGAAGATTTCATTACATGATCAAACGAACTTACCTGTAAGGGATGTTCGATCTTAATTATGTGAAGTCCTCATCGAAGTGAATACATAGAATACATGGGTGTTTGGTACAACTACGAGGGTACTGCAATATGTATTCTAAATATTTACGTCGACGAGGAACATAATGGCATATTTTATTTCAGGGAATGTCCTGACTGATGGTATCGAGTACATAGTAGAGAAGCTCTCGGACGGCAGAAGATACACTGCGAAGTCGATACTGAAACTGACACCGAGAAAAATTCATCACAATACAACGTTCACCTGTCAAGCACAAAACACTGCCGAGAGAACGCACAGATCCGCGAAGCTGAAATTAGAGGTTAGTATTATTTTTTAGAGGGTTCTCTCTAATGGAACAAATTGAGATAATTATCTCTCATACTGTATAGGCAATGACACTATTTTAACTAGATACCAACAAACTACATTGTACTCCATTTTTGTGACGTTGTGTCTGTTAAATGAACTTTTCAGACTACAATTTATTCAGTTAGACGTATTTTTTCTGGAAATATAACGTCTTGCGGTCGATTTAATTTTTGAAAGTTCTCTGCAGTTACGTCGAGGCAACTTTAAAACGTCTCTCAATGCACTTCGATTCTGTGATTACTAGCAGAAGCGTATTTTGCGAGAAGGCCCACAAATAAACTGATAGTCGGAAGGATTTGTCCAAGAAAATCGAGAAGCGAAAAACCCATTTCCTGATTGTGCCCTTGCCGCGACGTTAATCTTACTCGAATTTTGTTTATTGTACGTACAGGGTCGCATTTAGCTCACCAAGTTACCGGACGAAACTACGTGTATCTACAAGTTAGCGGTATTTCTCTGAGTAGTAGCGTAGGCTTTGGTTTTGAGATACACCGCAGGAAGAGTCAATGGGTGTCAAATCTGGTGTTCCCGGTGCCCATCGAATATTACCAAACAGAAAGGGGCAATTATAACAACGTCCTGAGCTGTTTCTATAAAAGTTGATATGGACTCTCAATTTCATAATGAAATTACGAAAAATCATCAGAAATCTATCTATCTATACTTACACGTTGGAGTAAATGAATGGATTCACTTTATAATGGTATTCTTGATCGTAGGTCATGATTTTGGAGCTATCCTCCCGTGAATTGATGTTACATGCTGATAACGTGGACAACGTACGCAGCACGACTGTCACGTGCCAAAATCACGTAACCTTTTTTTATACTATTTTGATCACTTACCAGTAATTTGAATTTCTCTTTATTGATTATAGAGTACCGATTCCCAGGACAAACCCTTTTAATGATTTTCTCTTGGTAAATTTCATAGTTATTAATTGTATAGTTTTACACTTATTATATCTTTCTTTCTCAGCGACTCAGTATTGTGTCGAAATCTTTTGGACATTAATATTATAACATTATCAACTACTATCTCAGAAATGTCCTCATAAAATATTCTCGTAAAGAGCTGGTTCTGCCCATTTGCAACCAGCGGGCCTTCTTGTGATTTCTACACGTATATGAATATTTGATTTACTATCAAGATAGCTGGTTTTACGGTTTGCGTGCGCAGACGAGTCTAGCGCCATTTTCTTCTGCTTTTCGTTGTGGTTTTGTTTGTGTGTGGGCGTTGTTTCGTTAACTTCCAGATTCTTTGATATTAACGCCCCAAACACTAGTTTATGGAATAGTACCCTTTTATTTTGTACCTTACGTTTAGCTGTGTTGGTTTGGGTGCTACCCCGTCCATTTTCTAATTTGATTTTAACCTTCAGCGTGCGAAGGCATTGCGGAGAACCACCGATCACACTCCGCCAGATTTGTTTTGTAGCTGAATTGTAGCTGTTTTGCAGCCGATTTTATCGGAAGCCTTCCCCTTGAAAAAAACCTGATGTGAACAGGGTTGTTTTAAAGCAGCCCTTACCTTGTGTCGTGATGTTTTATACTCTTATTCCTCAATTTAGCTTAAAAAATCGAAAATATCATTACATGTACCTCCACTCTAGAATTTGTCGTGAGCTATTGACTATACAGCACATTTTAGTAACTCTAAAAATTGTAGGGAAGTTTATTTCCTAAAAGATTATTTGTATTACATTTTTCTATAGGATCAATAGTTCACGGATTTATCAAAATGGGACTTACCACTGTAAAGCAACGACCGTTAAACTTATTTTAGAATTTTGCCATTCAAAATCTTCCATTTTTATGGCCTTAATCTTGTGACAAATTTACGCGGTAAAACAGATACATATCAGTCATCTTTCCAATATTGCCATGAACATTATGGTTCATACAATATTTCGCAGAAATATTTCATTTTTATGTCACACTTAGCCTACTGGATGACAAAACAAATACAAAATATCCCCGTACCAAAACATCCAGGTACGATACTGCAGTAAACGCGACACGTGGGGAAATTTATTCCACGAATTTGAATCGAATTGCAAGCAATAAAAAAAGCCGAAATTGGGAACGGGATTACAGCTACAGTCGACGAAATTTATTATTATACTTTGTTTTTCCAAATGTTTCAAGTGATTCATTCTTTCAGTGATTGTAAATTTGTATCGCATGGGCAACGTGTCGGGCCATATGTATTGATATGTAAAAATACGCGCGAAAACTTTTTGACAGGGTAAACAGGGGATAAATCGAACAAGTTCCGAACCGTGCAAATGTGTGTTCGGTATTTTATAAATTGGCTAATATATTCCAAGCGTGAAATTGAAATTACTATAGCTCTGTATTTGGACAGTTATTTTTCCTGTATAATTAACATTACAATATGGGCTAATATAATGGGTGATTTTTTTGCTAGTATCTTTTTGGCAACACTGTTTTTGACAGATGACGCGTGAGTCGTGTCTTGTATCATTGTCAAACTTGTTCAGTTTGGTCTATAATTTAACTATGAATCGACTTACGAACGAACAACGCTTGCAAACTATTGAATTTTACTATCAAAATTCATGCTCGGGTAAGAGAGTGCATCGAGCACTGCTTCCAATTTATGGGCAATTTGGTCGGCCTACTGAGGGAGCTATTCGGAAGCTTGTGACTAAATTTCGAACCCAGTTTACATTATTGGACATTAAACCACCAACACGCAGACGTAGAGTGAGGACTGAAGAAAATATTGCGACTGTATCCGCCAGTGTTAGTGATGACCGTTAAATGTCGATTCGCCGCCGTTCGCAGCAATTGGGCTTCTGTTACTCTACTACGTGGAAAATTTTGCGACAGGATTTGGGTGTAAAACCTTATAAGATACAGCTGGTGCAAGAATTGAAGCCACACGACCTCCCGCACTGCTTCCAATTTGGTGAATGGGCGCTGGCAAAGTTGGAGGAAGATCCACATTTTTATCGAAAAATTGTGTTCAGCGACGAAGCTCATTTCTGGTTGAATGGGTACGTTAACAAGCAAAATTGCCGCATCTGGAGTGAAGACCAGCCAGAAGCATCGCAAGAGCTACGAATGCATCCCGAAATTTTTTTTTTAATCTAAATATTGACGATGCTGATGCCGTTGAATGAATGTCGTTTATTTTATTTTAGCAATGTTAATAATTTATTTGAAACCATAACTTTGCTTAAACAAGTAACTTCATTTCCATATAAATGCACTGTTTAAAATGGAACTTACGTAAATGAACTCGAACAAGCAACAGGAGAGCGAGTCCATGTGCGTGATAAATTTAATAAGTATAATGTTATATATTACGCTGCTTGATAATCTGTCGTATACGATATTTATACATATACAAACAGTAACTAAAATGATAAAATATTATGGATTTATGAATCTTTCATGAGAAAGTTTTGCTGTGTCGTGTCGGTGTTTGTACTGTGAGAAGCCTTTTGTCTCAACTTCGAACTTATATTTGAAATATATTTCCCTTTTGTAGCTTGGCAGTATTAAAACATGCAAAATTAAAACGAGTGAGATGCTAATAAGTGAATATTTAAGTGCACTTTCCAATAACAGGCAATATAAATATGATGACTATGATTATTCAGCACTAATCCCATTTCTTGCTAAACAAAACAAAATCTCAGAAGAGTTTTTCAGGACTTTTCGACTACTATCAACGATAAACTGTAAAGGTATTCAGCCTTTCAGTCTCTTAAAACCCAAATACTGTATTAAACTAAAACCAAAATTCTTTAAAGCTAGTTTATACATCAATGTATCCTCAAAAATTCAAATTTTGCGATTTATGATTCAATTCTTTTATAGCTGTGCATGCATTTTATGGAAACTGAATCAGCTTTCTTTGAGCAGTAATCCACAAATCTTCATGTGAATCGACGAACATGCTGTTATGTCACTATCCAACTCTACAGAGTAATGTATAGGGACAATTTAAGCGGAAATCGTGATAGTAGGATGTTGTAGTAAGGGATTAGGAAGACATGGAGCTGTTAATCAGTCGATTAGCATTTTCTCCAATGGCCCGCTGGCGCCAGAGCCAATTAGTTCTAAGTTTCCCCCAAACACCAAGGGACTTGTGAATGCATTAGTTCTTCGAAGTCAAAAGTTAGGATGGACTGACTGTAGATCGTATCGCAATAAAATAATAAGTCTTGTCCGATTGCTTTGTGTTGCAAATCTGATATAGGCTGCAACAACGTGGGTTTTTACGATAAAGTCAAGAGAAGTTTGAGAATGTGCCGTCTGTTACTGGAATCGACCAGTGCTAAAGAGGAATCTATCTATCGCAACTGCATCCCAGTTCGAATTGTCAACGAGGTCACCATAATGGCCACGAGAAGCCACCGGTTCTGGTGCTATGGTAAATACAGTCTACTCGCCATTGAACAAACTAGTAATATAGCCTTCATTCTTCTGGCGACGGACGGTCAACCATCGAAAGCTATATTTGCAGTTTGGTCGATGGCCAGCACACCGCAACTACTATAGCACCAGAATCGGAGGCACCCAGCGGTCACAGTGATGACCCGGCTTTTTCATTGGTCGATTCTAGTAACAGATGACAGTTTGTGATGTCTTATTTCTAATTGAGCATGTTGTGCGCAAAGAACAGAAGCTAGGCTTCTTAGATATATTGAAAGACAGTTAGATGTCAATACAAACATCGATGTTAGAAAAATGGTTTTTAGCCGCATATCGAAAAAATCATGAAATATTGACATAAGAGCCCCGCAGGAGAATTGTAGGTAGTAAAATGATCTTCAAAGTCATTTTGAAGGCCTTTTCATAATTTTTGCCTATCTGCCTTATCGTTCAATAGAAATGTTATCCTTATATTTTTAGTTCTAGATGGCAGCCTTCTCGCTTATTCTCGCAAACATAATTTCGTCGAAAAATTGGTTTCTTCAATTTTTTCTGACGTTCTGAATATCCGGGTGTACTAGCTCACTACTGAATTACCTACTGCTGATGTTATAAATGATAAAAAACATCAATTATATTAGGATTAATCTAACCGAGGAGGTCGGAAGTCTGACTTTTGTCTGTGATCTCAATTAACATTTTCCAATTTCTTCCTTCAGGTAAAGTACGCACCAAAGGTATCAGTCTCAATCCTGTCTGGAGCGAACGCTGGAGGGCGCATACCTGAAGGATCCGAGGTACGACTTGGCTGTAAAGCAGACGCGAACCCGTCAAATGTCCAGTACCGGTGGTTCCTGAACGATGAACCACTTATAGGAGACTACGGCACCGAGCTGGTGTTGTTCAACGTCACCCGAAAGCACCACGACGCTATCGTCAAGTGCGAGGCACAGAACGCTGTCGGCAAGTCGGAAGAAAGCCAGACACTGGATGTCAGTTGTGAGTACTTTCAAAACTTGATTCTTCTATATCTATATTCAACTATATCTAGTTCTGAACAAGGATGAGGTATTGTGAAAGAAGTTACTTAGCGAGGCTTGTGAGGCCTTCATCTTCAAAGAGTACCCCAGTCTAATCGAGGTTCGAATATCTTTTGTTTGCAGATGGACCTCAGTTCCGAAATCGACCACGAAACATCCAAGCGGATCATGGATCTTCAGTAACGATGACCTGTGATGTTGATGGAAACCCCTTCCCAGACGTCTCATGGTACCACGAAAATAGCAAGAAAATCGTCAGCACAAGCCCGAATCTTACCTTACGAGTCGACGAAAAGACTGCAGGAAAGTACTACTGCAAAGCGAAAGTTCCTGGTTTTCCCGAAATTGGTGCGGAGGCATCCATATTGCTGAAAGGTAAATCGCGCTGTATTGAATACTTAAACGTAATTTTTTCATTACAACAAATAGCATTTTGGTGTCATGTATTCAGACACCGACAGCTTCATATATTTTCACCGGAAGTTCCAAGCTCAACCTCGGTAATGGAATCTCGGAAACGATAAGGATTCGTGAAGAAGTCAGTTAAATAAGGACAAAGTTGGGCATTTAGGTAACAAACGAAATAGAACTTAGAAAGTGAAGCAAAATAGTTTTTTAACAAGTGGCATAATTAGAATTGCAATCTGACATTTCGTGTCTTATCCTCAATCATAAACTTTATTTTTTCTTCTGGTCGTCATTTTAAGATAGGAAAATACCAGATGTCTGAAGGATTCGTCCCAGAAATTAAAAAATGCAGAAACAAAAACACAAAGTTTAAATAGATGGTCTTATAATTTTTATCTTGCATAATAACGATCATAAGGATAACGTAGATAAGGATAATGAGGATAAGAATAACGATGAGGATAAAGATAAACATACACATAAAGATAAAGATAACATAACGACAAAGACAAACATCAAGATCAAGAAAAATAAAGATAAGGACAAGAACCCAGACAAAAATAAATATAAACATGATGTAGATAAAGATTATGTATATAGCTTAGGTCATTGCGCTAGCATGTCAACGCTAGTCCCTCATATTAACAAATGCAGAAACATAAACGCAAAGTGTAAATAGATGCTCTTATAATTTCTATCTTGCATAATAGTGATGATAAGGATAACGATGAGGATAAAGTTAGATAAGCATAAAGAAAAAGGTAACATAAAGACAAAGACAAACATAAAAATCAAAAAAGATAAAGATATGTTAAGGACAAAGATAAAGACAAACATAAATATAAAGATGATAGAGGTAAAAATAAAGATGAAAAGATAAAAATTATATATACAGCTTAGAGCATTGCTTTAGCATTGCAACGCCAGTCCCTCATATTAATATATACAGAAACATAAACACAAATTGTAAATAGATGCTATTATAATTTATATCTTGCATAATAACGATGATAAGGATAACGATGAGGATAAAGATCAGGATGGATCAGCATAAAGATAAAGATAACATAAAGACAAAGACAAACATCAAGATCAAGAAAGATAAAGATAAGATAAGGACAAAGATAAAGACAAAACTAAATATAAAGATGATGGAGATAGAGATAAAGATTATATATACAGCTTAGAGCATTCCGTTAGCATGTCAACGCTAGTCTCCCATATTAACAAAAATGCAGAAACATAAACGCAAAGTGTAAATAGATGCTCTTATAATTTCTATCTTGCATAATAGTGATGATAAGGATAACGATGAGGATTAAGTTAGATAATCATAAAGAAAAAGGTAACAAAGACAAAGACAAACATAAAAATCAAGAAAGATAAAGATATGTTAAGGACAAAGATAAAGACAAACATAAATATAAAGATGATAGAGGTAAAAATAAAGATAAAAAGATAAAAATTATATATACAGCTTAGAGCATTGCTTTAGCATTGCAACGCCAGTCCCTCATATTAATATATACAGAAACATAAACACAAATTGTAAATACAGGGTGGGGCATAACTGTCTCCCTATTTTCAAAGCTTAATAAAACAAATGTTATTTGGAATACTATGGATTTATTTTGAAATCTTAAAAGTGCAGCTGCAAACAGTTTTATTTTATGTGGTTTTGAAAATAATATCGGCAAGGTGCTTTCCACCATTATCACAGCATTGCCGCAAGCGCTTTCTGAAGTTCGGGGGAGCGCGCAGGCCAAGGAATATCGCCTCTAAGGGAGATCAAGCGTCCGGGGAACAGTTCTCTCAAAATGCCTAATGATGCTCGGGATGTGTGGGCTGTCGCCCCATCCTGCTGAAACCAGTCATTCTGCACATTGAATTCTGCAAGAGATGGGACAAAAAAATTCTGAATCATCGCTACTTAGAGTTCCGAGTGGACGGTGACAGCCCGATTACCTTCTTCAAAAAAGTAAGGCCCAACCGGGCGGCACCGAATGGAAGTGGGGATAGCGTCAGTACAAGCGGCAAGTTGAACAGTTTCAGGTTAGAACAGGTTTCAGTTTGAAACAGCATGTGGACCGACGCACAGCGCGCTCCCCGGATTTGTCGCCTTGCGATTTCTTTCTGTGGGACTATCTTAAGGCTCAAGTCTTTCAACATCGTCCAAGGACCTTACCACAGCTGAAGGAGGCAATCCGTCTGGAAATTGGCCGAATACCGCAAGCAATGTTAGTTAGAGTTATGCAAAACTTCAGAAAGCGCTTGCGGCAATGCTGTGATAATGGTGGAAAGCACCTTGCCGATATTATTTTCAAAACCACATAAAATAAAACTGTTTGAGTTGCACTTTTAAGATTTCAAAATAAATCCATAGTATTCCAAATAACATTTGTTTTATTAAGCTTTGAAAATAGGGAGACAGTTATGCCCCACCCTGTAGATGCTATTATAATTTATATCTTGCATAATAACGATGATAAGGATAACGATGAGGATAAAGATAAAGATAGGCAAGCATAAAGATAACATAAAGGGAAATACAAACATCAAAATCAAGACAGATAAAGATAAGATAAGGACAAAGATAAATATAAAGATGATAGAGATAGAGATAAAGATGAAAAGATAAAGATTATATATACAGCTTAGAGCATTCCGTTAGCATGTCAACGTTAGTCTCCCAAAATGCAGAAACATAAACACAAAGTGTAAATAGATGCTCGTATAGTTTCTATCTTGCATAATAACGATAATAAGGATAACGATGAGGATAAAGATGAAGATGGATAAGCATAAAGATAACATAAAGACAAAGACAAACATCAAGATCAAGAAAGATAAAGATAAGACAAGGACAAACATAAAGACAAAATTAAATATATAGATGATAGAGATAAAGATAAAGGTGAAAAGATAAAGATAATGTATACAGCTTAGAGAATTCCGTTAGCATTGCAACGCTAGTCCCTCACATTAACAAATGCAGAAACATAAACACAAAGTGTAAATAGATGATCTTATAATTTCTATCTTGAATGATAAGGGTAACGTAGATAGGGATAACGAGGATAAGAATAATGATAAGGATAAATATATAGATATGCATAAAGATAAAATAAAGACAAACATCACGATCAAGAAAGATAAAGATAAGATAAGGATAACGGTACAGACACAAATAAATATAAATATGATAGATATAAAAATAATGATGAGCATTGCGTTAGCATGTCAACGCTAGTCCCTGATATTAACAAATGCAGAAACATAAATTCAAATTGCAAATATAAGCTCTTATAATTTCTATCTTGCATAAACAAAATATAATGTATTTTTGATGTACATCGATTAATATTAATTTAGTCTGTTTGCTTGGTCGCAATTAGTAATATAATGTGCTGAATTAATATTCTACATAACTATTGATAAAACAACTAAAATGACATTCGAGCATTTCCTGAAATTTTGAATATCAATTTTACGCTAATCCGGTGAGTAATGAAAATGTTACAAAATTTAACGAACGTGCTGTATGCACGTTAACCGAATATGCTGATGGGATATTTATTGAATTTGTTCTGGATGTGCACATATTGGGAAGCACTGTTAACTGAAAAAGGGATCAATTTTTATTCAGGATGAATGTTTACGGTATCGCTTTTGAAATATGCATTTTGTTTGAGAGAATAACAATAGCAACTCGGGGGACGCAGCAAAGTCATGAAGTTTCTAGTTACTGTTACTTTAATATTGGTTTCGTGTACCATAGAATGACTACAGTTTAGGTTTACGCACTTGGTTCAAGATTCCTTTGATGGCATTTTTTATCTTTATAACCATCTCTGTTTGAGGTTGGTACTAAAGGCTTCAGCAAGAAGGAGCAACTAAATTCATTTAACTTAGCATTGTTTTATCTTGTTTGCAACCCTGACAATACTTAAAACGCGAAGATATAATACTTACTTGCATTTATCTTAATATAAGTTCCGACTTAATCTAGTACTACTAAAAATGTTTATGTTTTCCAGGTCCGCCGTCCATTGTCAGCCACCGCACCCAATTCGGAATCGAAGGGGACAATGTCCGTGTGGAATGCACAGCATTCTCCATCCCAGCTCCACAACGAGTTATGTGGACGTTTAACGGCAAGGAAGTGGACCTTCACGACCAGGATTACTCCATTCTGGAAGACCCTCTACCCGAGGGTGTCAAATCCACGTTGATCATCAGGGAATCTCAGGAACGACACTTTGGAATGTACAACTGTAGCGTATCGAACGCCTATGGCACGGATGTCGTAGAAATCAGCCTTATGCCGCAAAGTAAGTGTGAACTTCATCTTAGCAATTTTTGCACAACATATTGAACTCGACTGAAACTTGGGCTTACGGTATCGCTATTAGAATGATACGATAGCACTGTGACTATTTTTAAAGCTGAAAGTGACCTGTTGGGTCTGGTTTTCCTACTCATACTGATGAATCTAGCCTAAGGCTGTATTTATTAGAAAAACATCACGCATCTTGTGACAGAACTGATAGTATTTTCTTCTCTTTCAGAAAGCTTCCCGATGCTGATTATAGTCATAGGAGTTATTGGAGCTGTGATCGTACTGATCATAATTATTATGATTATTTTTCTTTGTCATCGCCAGGGCAACAAGAAACCTCCACCAGAGAGTAAGTGTATTCATATATTCATTTGTAACAAACTCTTCAGCAAATGATTATGATGATGCTAGTAGCATTAAGACAGCATACGTCAAAGAGAAGGCTGAATAGTTGAGATGTAACTTTGAAGACTGCAAATTTAAGATCCTTAAAATGGAACAAAATATCTCTTCAGCCCTTCTGCTTGATTTTGCTGATGTTCCATTTTTACCATCATCGGTTTCCAAATATTTGCTGATAAGCAATATCACAATCCACAAATGATGTTCCATCGTGGATTATTATAAATATACTAAGTGACATATACATCCGAACACCCAGTCTAAATGATTTTATTTTAATAAAATTTTGTATATTTACTTAATGAAGCATAATAAGTAAATGATAAAAAATTCAAAATGATTGCACTGCTTTAAAGCCCTTTGACCTTTAACCCGCCTGTAGTCGCGCCGGGTCCGACTGACCCATATGCTTCTAAAACCTACCACTGCGTATATGTGACAACACTGCCCGATGTCTCCTCCCCACTACCTTCCTATAGTGTGATGAAGATTGTATATCTGTTGTTAGTGTCAGCGCAGTCGCAAAGCCGAGTGTGTTGTTCCATGTTTCGGATTTCAGACCCAGCGCGACTGAATATAGGTTTCACGCAGTATCAAGACTCTTATGGGGAGAAAATAGGTTCTGAAAATGACAGCAATTAATTTGTCATTATTCGTTAAGTCAATGTTTCTTATCGATCATCATCTGTGCGTTCAATGTTTTATTTGACTCTTTTCTTTTTTTGATTGCTTTTGGTTTGACATTTTGATGTAGATCCTTTGAGAAATATCAATAAACGCATTTCATTTCGTCGATCTTCCATCGTTGAAAGTATTAGTTGACATATGTCAAAAAATATACTGATTCATGCGTTATTCTAGGCGAACGACTTTTTTGTATCGAAGAAAACGGAAAGTTCGCCTGGGTCTGATAGACCCAGCGCGATCAACAGAGTACAAAATCAGGGCGCGACTACAGGATGGGTTAATAATGTGTGGATGCACTCTGATGTGCTGCTACGCATTCTCCAACGCGCCTAGGCATGCCTCTGATCAGGTGGTCAATGTCCTCCTGTGGTATCTCATTCCAGGCAACCACCAACTCCTCTCGAAGTGCTTCTAGAGTCTGAGGAGGACGTTGCAAATTGAGCAATCTCCTACCCATCATATCCCACACGTGCTCAATTGGGGATAAGTTGGGATATCTTGGTGGCCATGGTAACAATGTGACATCATTATGTTGAAAGAAGTCTATTGTGACTCTTGCAACATGTGGTCGGGCATTATCTTGTTGGAAAGTTGGATCTGCCAGGGTGTCAAGATAGGGTAAAAGATGGGGTTCTAGAACTTCGTGGATATAACGCTGCGCGTTTATGTTACCTCTGATGAAGATTAAAGGTGACCTGGAACCATAAGCTATAGCACCCCAAACCATAACTCCAACAGTGTGATGAACGTGTCTTTCAACAAAAAACTGTGGATTCCTCCTTTCACCACGTCGCCTTGTAACCCTGGCACGACCATCGTGCATGCCTAAACAAAATCGAGACTCGTCACTAAAGACAATACGGTTCCATTCCTGATCCCAGAGTGACCGTTGTCTGCACCACTCAAGGCGATTACGTCGGTGTTCTCGAGTTAAAGGGAGGACTCAGTGTGGCCGGTATGAAAACAAGCGAAAACTTCTCATTCGTCGGTAAACACTTCGCATGCCAATAGGTCTTCCGTGTTCTGCAAACCATTCATTTGCAATGGACCTGGTAGTGGAGAAACGATCCCTTAAGGCCAATAATCTTAGGCGGCGATCTTCACGGTCTGTTGTTCTACGGCGGCGTCCAGTGCCCCTTGCTCTTTGCGTACGGCCTTCTCGAAGCCATGCCTAACCACAGTGTCTACACTTCTTTGCACTCTAACTGCAATTGACCGAAAAGAAAGTCCAGCTTCCCGAAGTCCCACTATACGGCCCCTATCAAACTCACTAAGTTGACGAAATCGTACAGGTCTCCGTACTCTAGGCATCGTAGCCGATCGTAAAGGATGTCAAGAACCAAAATCCGCCAACGTCGATTCTTTACTGCGGCTGAAATATTTATTTTTAGAGCGTTAGTGAATTAAAAAAAAAGCAGTATAAAAACCGGAATGTCCAACTGATAAGGCTGAAAATTTTTTCACTTGTTATTTACAGTAAGATAAATTCATTCACCAACTTTTATTAAAATAAAACCATTTAAACTGGGTGTTCGGATTTATATGTCACTTAGTATATTTCCCCATGTGTCAAAGAATGAAGTAATGGTTGATAATATTATAGCCGGCATTTCTAGGAATGCAGCTATTAAATCATGTAAGTGCAAAAGCAATCACGTAAATAATGAATAAATTATATAATCTACGACCAAAAAAGCTTTTGCAATTTCCAATCTTCATGGAAACGTTCCATAATCTTTAAAACAGAAACTAAGTGAGAACTTCATTTCAGCAGACACGAACACAATCGAGAAGCAATGCAAGGAATCCGACAGAAGTTCGAACATCTCCGATCTGAAGCTTGACCTCCGGGCGGGGTCGTCGAACAGCAACATGCACTGCGACCTGGACTACATCCCTGGAGCGGAGTCAGAGACAGGAAGTGAGTCCGTCATCACTAGGATTGGCGTGCCTCTCGCTGGACCTGTCAATGTCAACTCGCAGGACATTTATAGGTACTCGGCTGACTATACGGAGCCCAATTTCCCTCCAAAGGTAAGAAAATTGCAGAATGAGATTACTAGTCATCCGAGAGACAGCTAGAATCATCACTAGCTTGCGGTTATCCACAGGAAATGAAAGAGTTAATACTATTCGATCTGGCGTTTTTTGGATGAGATTCCAGTTAAATTAAGTCAAACCGGAATATTTGCGACACTATGATCTTTTTCTGTATTAATGATCTTTGGTTAGAAGAAAGGCTTAATGGGGTAAATAAAGGTATTATAGGATCTGGATCTGATACGTTGGCAGCATTCACCTTGTGGTTTGAATAGCTGCTTGGCTAAGATGCAACAAATCATTGTAATAATAATAATAATAATAAATAAATTGTGAACAAATTGATGTGCCACAAAAGGAAAATATCCTTGTATGTGGATATCATGCTAACACAACATACTATACATACAGGATATCTAATAAATACCACGACAAACTTAAGGAGAAGGTAGGCTTTGGACTCATCTCAAAATAACAGAAACTTGCCTATATAAAAGTGTCACCGTTTTTGAGATATTGAATTTTTTCTTAAGTTTAAAAAAAACGAACCTTATCATCTGTGGTCTTCAGCTGCATGTACAAATAAGGTTATATTTTGTTCATTTTATCTATAAAATATTACTGGATAAGTTGCTTTTTCATATACAAATGCAATGTAGTTAAAAGATATTAAGGAACCATGATCAAATAAGGACTATTTTTGGATATATGATCTTCTGATATTTTTTCCTCATCTTTGACCATCTGTGGAGAAACAAAAATGTACTGGGCTATAACTGCATTATATTGAATAAAAAGATGCTCTTTGAATACAGATTTCAGAAAAGCGCCACACCGACTATTTGGAATTGAAAAAAGTGGTAGCTGCTTTTGCGAGTAACTGACACACACTACAATGTAATTATTGGATTTAAATTCAAGTTGCACTGGTTACCGATCAGTGACATGCTAAATAGTACAAAGCTACATTATTATTACGTGCTCATTACATGATTTTATGAAACTTACTTAAATTCGGACTCGAGTCAGTAACAATACAAAAGAATTATTTTTTATCATGGTTCCTTAATATCTTTTAACTACATTGCATTTGTATATGATAAAGCAACTATCTAGAAGTATTTCATAGAAAAAATGAACAAAGTATAACCATATTAAAGACCACAAATGAAAAGGTTCGTTTTTTTTAAATTTAAGAAAAAATTCCATATCTCAAAAACGGTGACACTTTTATATAGGTAAGTTTTTGTTATTTGGTCACTCCATAGCCTACCTTCTCCTTAAGTTTGTCGTGGTACTTATTGGACGCCCTATATAACACAGCGGTTATAATAAACTGATAGGACTAAAAAAGTCTATATTATGTAAATGTTATGATGATGATGATAATGACTACTAGCAATAAAGAAAAGATATATGTTAGTTTTTTATAAATTACGTCATGTTTATATCAGTTTTCAAAAGCCACTCGTATAAAATTAATTTTAAACCCCGATAGCATTAAATATTTATTAAATATTTCTAAAAAATGTTTGTCAACTATTTGTAGCGATAGATTTTTTAATATTTAATAAATATATTTCTTATATATTTATAAAACATCCATTATAGATATTTGTAGTATAGTATATATTTTGGCGATATTTTTTCCAAATTTTTAGAAAATATATGAGGAAAGATTTTTAAATATCAATTTTCCATTTTGATGAAATATCTAATATTTTTTTCTGAAAGAAAAACAAACTTACTAATTATGAAGTATTATTGAATACATAAGCTGCTTTCCAGTGTGTTTATGCAAATATTAAGTGCAGTGGAACAGTATTGGTGCTGAGCATTTTGATTACTCCAAGTAGCTCAACTGGATCACTGAAAAGCAGTTCTATATTGCACCTAAAAGGACCCCACATTTTCTGCCTATGATAGTTCGAGGTTTGGTTGATTTTTAAGAAAATTTGGTATGGTTTTTTAGATATCGTGATTCAAGGGACGAAAGTATAGTATTTTCGACTGTTAACATTTTTTAGCGTACTACGACAAAAATAATAATAATAATTGAGAGGTTTAAAAAAACATTTTTGATGTATCTCGATGAAGTTGCGATTATATGTCTTTTCATTGGAATGTTATGAACATGATTTTCGTATCCATTCTCAGATAAATCCACCAATACCAAATAACTGTTACAGTTCAAGGCTAGTTATTTATGGTCTTGTGAATACCTTTACACTCAGCTGACACAATAATGTTTACTAGTCAGATAAATTAAGCTATGTAATTATCGAAAAACTTTCCCTTTTCCACAAAAAACACTCAAATAATAAACTGCTTGGAGGTACATAGGAAGCACGCTATCATAGTTAAAGTCACAGGTAAAATGGGTGCTGACAAACCGGTCTCCTCAGACCGGTTTGCTATTATCCCATTGGTCGCTCGAGGTAACACGCACATGCGCCGTAGCCGAAAATATTTGATGAACAAACATTGGAGATTTAATATTTTCCATTGATTGAAAAGTAAATATTTAATGAATATCATACAAGAAATATTGTATTTAGAATATTTGAAAGATATTGAATGAATATTTAATAAAAATATTGTATTACAAATGTTTATTAAAATTAAAGGTTTGTTGTTGTCAGATGGTTATTATATTCGTGAATCACCAGATAATAATTCCATAAGTTCAACTAATGTTTGATATAAAATTGAGTTTCGCTGAAAATTTGTCTGTAATATCAACTTGTTGTTCGTACAAAACAATAGAATCCCGAGTCGCTTTGGTGCTGCTTCTGAGTTTACAACGTTAAAGGGGAGCATCCCTTTAAGCAACGGTATAGTGAACTGTAGCAAACTTTGTACATTCTGTACACAAAAGCGAGGTGGTCCAAAATACGCGTCCTAATTATGTAGCTACATTTTAGGCATAATTTATTAATTAATTAGGAAACAAATCCATTACGGTAGAGCCGGTAACAGCCCCATTAGAGAACCACGCACGACGGCTCAGCACTGAGCATGAGGCATTTGAAACGTAGCGATATACAGAGTGGTTCGTCATTATATATTCCAAGTAAAACCCGAGTTATAGCAAAGACGTAAATCGAGAATTAATCTGTTTCTCTTTAACGAGCTATATTTTGGTAGAGTTATGTCATTTGCCGGAAGACGTGTCAACATTTCTTAGAACGGAAGCACTGTGCAACATGTTGCGAAGCAAGTACTGGGTAATGCGGCATTTTCTGCAACTTACGCCGAAGAAATTTCACGTTGCGACATGTTTGTTTTCTTGATTTTATTGCGATTAGGGATTTTATAGCATCGGACTACGATACATACTTTGAAGTTGAGTCATTAATTTTCAGATAATGATTGTAGAAGGAAGATAAACCAAAATATGTGTGTAAAAATAAAAATAAAAATTAAAAAAAATGTTACCTTGTTTTATAAAGTATCCTCCCGACAAGTATTTCAGTGCGGACCTGTATTTGATCGCGAGGTCTTGGAGCACCGACATTCCGTCTTAAGTCACCTGATTCACGAGCCCGTTGTACTACATTAACAAAGGCACGAGGGGTTGGTTGCACTCGATTGGGAAACCGATCCGCATAAAGACTCCCCCCACCCCCCCGTAAATAAGAATCATGTCCACAAGTTCAGCATTTTCGTAAACATGTGCATTTTTTATTTCGTTTGAGCCACGCAACAAACACCACTATTCACTCACGCGTTACCGACTGACACATTGACGGAAAACAACTGAATAATATTGTACATTGTAGTAAAAACATCGTTTCAAATTCTTTCGCTTTTTTGTTTCCGATGCGATGAACGGATAAGGCGGATTATATCCGTTGTTGCCAAACACGAGCACATAATATTATTATTGAGACAGGGCGGTACTCAAACTTCTAAAGGGCTATAACTTTGTTACTTTAATTTTACCAGAAAAATGTTAAAGGAAAAAAGCATTTCTTTTGATCAGATCTACTCACTGTTAAAATAAGTGACTCAACTTCGAAGTCACCCTGTATATGCAACCAGTATTGCACTTCTAGCTTTGATAGATCGAGCATATTTATACGGCTTTTTGTAATGATCAGTAACAGTGAATTTGAAAACATCCGAAGTTACTGATCCTAGTCTAGTAAGACAAGTTGAAAAAAATGGTTGAAAATAAAGCAAACAGCTACTTATTCTATTTTAGAACGCCGTGCTTGAAATAATATAACCAAGATCTATAATGAGATTAATATGGTGAAGAAAAAATGTACAAAATTACGGGGAAATATTAAATAAAATTGACTAAGGAGGTTATATAACAGCTAGACAAATGATTGAAATTTATGGACTCGTTTTTGGTAGGGCTACTTCTTAGCGTAGGTATAATAACAGGAACTTTTTCTTCTCTTCTTCGGGGAATTTTTTCAAGTGCACTGAACTTATTACTATGAGAAATCGTCGAAGAAATCACAGAATGTGAGCAAAATATTTGAAAAATTTCAACTTGTATAATACACCCCTATTATTAGTCAGTATTGTAATACTCGTTGCCTATATTTGTGCTGGTCCGCTTTGCTATGAAATGGCTATTCGCTATCAAACCGAAAAAAACTTTTCATTACTATTATGTGTAGCTTAGTAACATTTAACACAAAAATCGCAACCGTAAAAGATGGTCAATGAAAATGCTAAATAGATAGGGCCAGCGAAGAAAAATCTTTCTGATCTCGACGACAGCCTATGACGACAATTTTTACAACCTAAAGAAAAGGAAAAGTTATTATTAAGTAATGAAAAAGTATATATCAATGCAGTGTTGCTTCTTTGTTTTGCAACATACTAACCTGTAAAGCGCTATGCCTGAAGGTATCTACAAAATATCGTATACAGCGCAACCTTGGACCACAATACACGATGTTTGACTTTATAAATAAATAATGAACAAGTAAATCGATTTTATTGACCAACAGTTAAGGAAACCATTTATAGGACAATCCTAAGAAGGTAAATCAAAGTAACAAAAGTAGAAAACATACAAAAAGGAAAAAAACAAGGAAAGGAAGAAAGAAACATTTCACTCTAGTGAGAAACATATAAATTGTTTGAGTAATCAGCATGTATATCACAATAATTAAAAATATCACACATTACATTTATGCGTGCTTTCAAAATTATACCTAAGTTTGTCCGTGATCTGTCACAATAAAAGGTTTTAATGGTACGAGTTTTAATAGATGGGACATTAAAGTTTAGTTTAGCCACAATCTGATTAGCATCAATTCGATTGTGCAGCAGTTTATGCAAGAAGATAATTGACGCACCCTTCTCAGTTCTAAAGATTTGAAACCTAGGAAATAACAAACTTTCGGATATAACCTGCTCAGGATATGCACTGTCAACCTTGAAAGAACAAAATTTGAGAAACTCTTTCTGCACATGCTCAAGAGAATCAATGCAGTTGTAAATTGAGTTATAAATTAACGATGCATATTCCAATTTCGATCTAATACGTGTAGAATACAAATCCAAAAGTGACTCTGAGCGGCTCATCTTCTGAGTTCCTCACCATAAAATCGTGAAGCTTTACTCACCTTTTGAGCTATATGGGGTGAAAAATTAAGTTTATGATCGAAAACTATACTCAAATCCTTATTTGAGTCACAACGACATCCCCAATCTTCTAATTAAATTTACAAACTGACTACACTACAGTTAGACGCATTAAGAAATAAATTACTCGCGCTACCAAAGGATCAATACCCCGATGAAGTGCAATACAGTCAGCCTCAGCGTCAATAGTCCTGAATAATCTTAAGTCATCCGCAAAAAGGAGTTGACTACAACTCAAATATTGCGCATTATCATCAATAAATAAGGTACACAATGAAGGACCAAGGTTTGTACCCTGAGGCACTCCCGATTTAGTTACATACTGTTACGAATTGAAGCTATTGCATATTCAAAACGCTTTAGCAAAACCGGTATATACATACTGCATCTACTTGACCTTGCCAAGAGGCACATTCAATAGCGAACTGAGTAAAGATTGTTGAATTAGTTACCGTGGATCCCTGAGTGAGAAACCCATGCTGAAAAGGGTACAGAGATCTATGAACTGCGGAGTAAATTCTATTACGCAATATGATCTGCAACAATATTGCCAGCACTATACAGGGTGTCCGCAAAGTTGGGGTTTTCCTTTACACGACATGTAGATCTTGAAAACATAAGCAATTTTTCTTAGTACCATATACACCAATGTCTTAAGGGAACCGAGATAAAGGGCTCTGCAACATCAAAAATATCTGAATACCGTCCTGTAGCCGCGACATCACCGACTGGTACAAGGTCACTGACTCAACCCGACGACAGAACTGGGTCGGGGTCAGTGTGTCAGGTCAGTATGCAACCTTCAACCGACGGTTACGGTCACGCGTGTAGAGGTAATCGCGTAGACGAGAATCCCTCAACAAGCACTAGAGACGTGGCTAGAGAAGTGCAAGTATCAAAAACTAAAGCGTGGCAAACGCTGCGTGAAGAGGGGCTGTATCCGTTTCACGTCCAACGTGTACAAGCCCTTCAACCTGACGATTTTCCAGCAAGAGTGCGGTTTTCTGAGTGGTTGTTGCATCAACATGACAATAATCCGGACTTTTTGAAGTGCATATTGGTGACAGGCGAATCTACGTTCACGCGTAACGGGGTGAATAACTTTCGCAACACTCATGTTTGGTCAGTAGAAAATCCGCAAGCTGTCCGTCGGGCACATTTTCAACAAACATATTCGGTGAATGTTTGGGCTGGCATGGTGAACGGTATGCTCATTGGACCATTTATTCTCCCAAATCGATTGGACGGGATGCAATACCTAGACCTTTTACGCAACATTTTGCCTTCCTTGTTAGAAGATGTGCCATTAAGTGTAAGGCAATCGATGTGGTTTCTGCGTCTGCTCGGTACCACATCAGCTGATTTCATTTTCTGTTGGAGCGGTATGATTTCGGGCAGAGACGTACTTAGCCCTTCTCGTCAACTGAGTACTTTTTCCTTTATTTTTTTTTACTTGGTCGCCCTCGTTTCACTACACGTTACCTTTGTTATTTCAAGGGTAGTTGTTTCTGAAAAGGAAAACCCCAATTTTGCGGACACCCTGTATAGTTCTTAATATCAGTATTATTAATGACGTTATGCCTATCCCGTAGATCTAAATCGATGGTTTCGTCAGTAGGCTCTTATACATGCTACATGGCTAAACTCGCGTAGGTCCAGATCCCACTATGGTCCAAATATATTTTAGATCAGTCTAATAAAAGAGAAAGACGTTAAGATAGGGTTGCCTGTGTACATTGTCGCAAATAATTCTTATCCAAACGTAAGATATTGTCCTTGCTTTTGTCTTGTAGGATCCGCATAACTAGACTATACTACCGTAGAAAATTTATAGAAGGTCGCGTTGATTATTGGAACCGTTCGAGCAAGTACAAAGGGCTGATTTGCGTCTCAAGGTGTTTCGGGGGATGCCTAACGTATGCCCCCGTTATGTTAATAATGTAATCCCAGGGGTCATAAAGTCGGTCCGAGGTACGGTCCGCCCTGGTTGCGATACGGTAGGATGTCGGTTAAAGTGACGTCGGGTACGGAAGTCGCCTGATCTAGGATGGATGTTATTGAAATATTTAATCAGGTCTGCTTCGTCGGTCGTAGCCAAAGGCGGCATAATAGAGAAGTTCACGAACAAGGTTGAAGATTACCTTGTGTCTTAATATAGTTAACTAGAGATTTATAAACTTGTGAATATAGTTCTTTTCACCATTTTTGACGGTTATTTCATCAATACCATTCGAGATTAGTAAACAGATAACAGCGTAATCTCCAAAATCTTCGAAGGGATAGTGTTCAACAGGATATGTTCTTTTCTTGATAGTGACAAGATCTCTCTCCTTGCCGACATGATTTTAACATAGATATAAAAAGTCTGTGAAGACTGGTTGTTGCTAACTTGTTGAATACGTCTATAAGAATCTCTACATCGATATGTAATATAACAACTGTTTGATTTATCAACGTTTCTTGACTCAGTAGATAAATAATTCTTGAGTCGAAACCTATATAGCATCGGTTTTCGTGGTTTGTTTGATGTCATGTATGACTGATAGACCTGTGAGAGAGAAAGTATAAAATGTGATGTCTGAAAGTTATCTACTTCAACTCGGCGCTCCGCAAGGGTCGATATTAGGGCTGCTCCTCTGTTTGCTGTTCATCAATGATCTATATCAGTATCCACTGTCACTTCTGATGAGATTCACTCAAAAGTAGTGGCATCAACGCAACAGATTGCTGATAAACGAAACAACATCCGTCATTGTTAATTTTACCATCTGAAGACATATCCCAGAAGACAACATATTGCCCAGTACCTATGAGATATTGTAGCATTGCAAGCTATTAGTGACTTTTTGTGACAGTAGGTTGTCCTTTATCTAACATCTCGATGACGTATCCGACAACCTGAATAAATTTCGCCTTGTTGCTGCTTAATTACGTACTTAATGTTACCATGCGTACAACCATAACAAAATGACATACGACCTTATGACTTGGGTCCACTGTCTGCACATGTACAGATTATTTGCCCTACAGAGAAGATATATCCGGTATATAGCTAATCTAAGATATAGCTCAGTTTATCAAACTAATGGTCATGATATGACCGGGTGCATATTACAATTATTTATGTATGTCGAGTTAAATCCTGACTTTTATGCAAACCATCATGAAACTCATCATGTAACACCCGACACAAAGACAATTTGTACCCAAATCAAAAGAGTTGCTAAAACGAGAAATGGAGTCAACTACCATGGCATAAAATTTTATAATATTTTACCTAGGGAAGTAAGATCTCTAGCACAGAATGAGTTTAGTTATGCTGTCAAAATGTTGACGCTTCCTTTACTACTAACGGATTCCTCAATCACAACTTCGTCACGTATACCTAATAGTTTGAACTGTTATGCTATTTCATGCTACATTTTCTTTTTTGTTCGAGTCATGTATGTATTACTTGTTACAGTTTTATCTCTTATGCCATTTGTTGATTGATTGGACTTAGTTTGTTATAATTTTATCTTTTATACTTTTTATTGTCAACCTTTCAACCATATATGTGTGTATGATCTGTTGTGTTTGCTTTTATACGTATTGTCTATTATTTGTTTTCTTCTTGCCACTAAGCTCTAATATTGACTTGTGTAAGCACGTTTCGTGCAACAACACCAACAAACCATTACTAGTAGTTGAAAAAATGTATTATCTTTGTTTCAGGATGGTCAAAACAACAACGGCTACGTTCCCTACGTGGACTATGCCCGTGACTACACGCCGCCCACAATCCAGCCCTCGGTGTCGCAGGCGTGCGTCGTCACATCCGAAAGCCTCCAATCGACGCGACTGCAGCTCCTCCCACTGGGCGGATTGCCCAATGGCGGGCCGCCGTCTGTCGATCCCCGCTTCAGTGCCACGTATGGGAATCCGTACCTCAGGCAACCGCCTCCCGGGGTGGGGCTGCCGACGCCCAACACAGCCAATCCGGCCGCCACACCGGCGCCGCCTCCATACACTAGGGATTTAAGGGTAAGTTGGAGTCGTACTAGGAATTCGAGGGTTTTAAGATTATCGCGGCACGTTTTCTCACGTTTGTACTTCCAACTCTTCTGAGGGAAACAGGTTGTCTGTGCAGCAAACTAGGTGAGCCTTGCATACTCATCTACTTGTATATTAGGGTTGACATCCTATGTTTTCCAGATAAATTGCGCATATTGCATGCACCGAGAGATTAGTCATATACTGAGGTATTTGGGAAAACTAAAATTTGGCCTAATCGTTTTTATTTTTGCCTGACATTATTTTAAGAAAAGTCAAAAAATAATAGCACTATTTAGGCAATACATGCTGTTGTTTCTAAAAAAGTACTACCATGTATCCAACAACATCTTTTTCTACGACCTCAACGATGTATCACGTTACATTTGTTTTTTAGTTATAAATAAACGTGTTTTTATACCTTTTCATTTTATTTAAGTAGGCGTTGCATACAAATGCTTGATGTAAGATTGTGTGACTACTGAATTTAACCTAGTCTGATCCTTATCTCTTGCCACCCTGTAATACATTATTATAAAAAGAAATTTACAGAAACGTGCACTAATCTAACGTGCTTGTAAGTATTCTTATGCATTTCTGAAAAATCTCAAAACTACTAGCAAGGCCTCATACAAAAAACTATTATTAATCCAAGCAATTGGTGATAGCAAAATAGAAAAGGTAGCAAAATCTCCCGATGATCTGGCAACGCCGCAATCCAGGTAATAATAATTACAAGGTCAACTTTCAAAACGTATGTCTATCCCGGGGTAACAACGGAGTCATTTAGAACGTCAAAGAGGCAGTTTTCCGATCTTCATTTGCATATTTTTAAGTGTTGTGCAACAATTCGAGAAAAATTTAGCTACGGATAGTCTTCTAGAGCCTAGTACAGTAGATTCCAATAGTTGCCTTGCGTGGCCATGTTATCTTCACTCGGGTCGTAATTTCTAAGTATCCTACTCTAGACATGTGACCTGTTTACCTCGGCGTACCGTCTCTTTCAAAATCAAATCTTTTTTTTTGATGTTTCAATCACTATTGGTCTTAATTAAAAATACCGTCTCTTTGTTTCAGTGTACGTCATCAGCGGCAACGATGCTGACCTCATCGCACAGTCCGACAATGACGATGGTCACGACGACGTCGCCAATGTCGGTTACAAGCCTGAACGGGGCCCCGCACGCCGTACGGCTTCCAAATTCGCCCACCAGCCAATACATAGTGCCCAATTCCAATGTGACCATCAAAAGGGCCACCATGGCCACGCACGTGTGAAGTGATCTGAAATCGCCGCGACCTAAGGCTGAATTCACGTGAAAGCCAGCGTTCTTAGACCGGGGTAATGTGACTCAAGGTTGACCCGTCAACTGATCACAATGCTGCCATATATAGATTGGTGATATCGTTATTTGTTCATATCAGTGATTTAAGATCGTGATGCGTCACCACTTTCCGTTACTAAATCACAGTTCGTGAAACATCTGCCACCCCTACTGCCATATCAGATGTTTGAAAGAGTAGTTACGAATGCTAGCAAAAAATGACAGTCCGTTTGAATCATCACTTACGCTACATAACAAAAAATACGAGCGCTAGATCATTGTTCTATTTGCTTATCGCTGAAAGCTGGCATTTATGGAGGCTGGTCAATAGATGTGCGACAATTTGAGATTCGTATTTGTATTTGTTTGTACACAGCGAAGATGAGTTTTGAATAGAGTAACCTTCTATTTGATAATCGTTGACTTTTGGATATTGATTCTAAATCCATGTAATTTACATATCACTTTCATATCATTTTAACTATTTGTGTCGACCGTATTAAGTGTAAGGTTTCTGGTGTCGGTTTGAATATCATAAAAAACAAAATATAAGGTTATACTTAAAAAATTAACTCCAATAAAGTGATGTCGGCTTCACCTTTGCTAATGGTACACTTAACATAACCACGTATCTAGGCGTTATTGCAGGTTTAACGTGTACACGACAGCGTAATATGTAATCCTACATTACAAAAAAATCTTGGGGGGCACTTTTTATATGGAAATTTGTTTTTCTAAAATACCATTTTCCAGCAGTACCTCGATGGCAAATATCAACACAGAACAGGTGACGTTGGAGAATAGACCACAGAATATTAATCACACAACGGAATGGATGCGAATTTTGACAGTTCTGCGTTGCCATATTGCGTAATCTGAGAGGTGACTATCGTGTTTGACTGTGATTTGAAGTATAACATGCGAGTCATACACGTTAGAGCTAAAAAGTTTTATGACAATAAAAATAAAAAATACAAAGGTGTTTCTGCTTAAAATGAGTGAATAAATAATAACATAAACAATAAATAATCAAGAACCACAAATGAACAAAAGCAGTTACTGAAATACCTAGTATTTTCTAAGACAACATGATAAATAAAATATAAATGTATATATAAAATAGAATTTTTATACCGTTTTAATTTTTTATTTTCGTTGTTATAAAACTTTTGAGCTCTAACATGTTCTTGTGCTTCAAAATAGTCAACTATGATCTGTCTGTACACCTCTCGGGTGGCGAAATATGGCAACGCAGCGCTGTCAAAATTCGCATCCATTCCATCCTGTGATCGATAATCGATCTTCTGAGGTCTATTCTCCAACGTCCCTGCAGTATATATGTCTTGTGGTCACCTGTTCTATGTTCATATCTGGAAAGTCCAAGATTTTTTTGTGCATAATTACATATTACACTGTCGTATACACTTTAAACCTGCAATAACCCCTAAATACGTGGTTATGTTAAGTGTACTATCACCTGGAGAAGAATGGATAATCTTAGCAATAATACTCAGTTCTCAAAGAATCGATTATTCTTTCTAAAGACAATAAAATTATCGATTCTCTAGAATTATTACTCATTACCAGAATAGCCTATCGATATTTAGCAGCAGTGTAAACCAATGGACGGGTCCGATCTTCTGGTCCAGGAATACCCCGTGCGTAGAACCTGTCAACTGTCGCTTCCTTTTAAGTGTTCTGTGGCCTTGGGCTGACTGCATCACGATTATTTTCGCGACGTGTTCCGTGTTAACCAAGGATGCTAGACGTCAGGAATGTGCCACTGAAAGTCCTTGCGTTTCGAATCCTTGGTGAGAAGGCTACCATAACCATTTAGGCGTATAAACATAAGAAATCTTTAAGAGTTATAGCATAGCAAATGCATTTATATATCTGTTCGCATATTATATTGATGGTTTAAATTCAGAACCTTGAAAATCTAACTATAATTTTGTTGAAATATTTTTACTTCGAAGATTTCTCATGTTGATACACGAAAATGGTTGCTATCAATGGCCTAGGTATCAGTGTGGGTGATGTTAAATCTAAGTGAATTTACTACGAAAAGACTGAATTATTATATAAATCGAATTTTTTCTAGATGAAATTGTTCAAATTTGGTCGAGCCGAATCCGAACAGTCCTATTGTACATTGATACTAGACAATTAAATTAATTGACAAATTATTGATTAAAAGTTAATCAAATCGTACTGGTTTTTGTACTAGACAGCTGTTTGTCGAAAGTCTCAAAGGTGCTATCCCCATTTCTATAAAATCAATTTTGGCAGTTAAAAATCTAGGAAATAAATGTTTTGAAATCAATTACGCAGACATAACTGCAACTTTGCAGGTTTACCCTATCACGTCAAAACTTGAGATTACCTCAATCTAAAACATCCATTTACATTACTGTTAATTTTCTTCATAATCTTTGTCACAATTTACGAGGTCAGTCCGATAAGTACCTAGGCTAACAAAAGAAAATCGAATTTTTTTAAAAGTGGCGATTAGCTCGATACATTTCACCCAGCGATGATTCAATTTCTTTAACCCTGAAAAATATGTTTTCTGGAGGTCTACAAAGTAGTAGATATTAAATTTCCCATACAATAGTGGCGCCGTCGGCAGTACTTGTCGAACCGCCCTCGTACATCGGCGTCATCACCTCTTGTCATGTCAAATTACTTCTATTGGATAAAAAATGTGTCTTGAACTTATTCGTAATCATGTAAATAATCATATCTTGGAATATTTTCCCTAATAACACAGGTGTACGTCTTATGATGAGGTTATTTTGTGACATCACTGTCCTAATAATTTAAAGGTGGAAATTCAGTAGAATCAGATTAGCCGCGACATCGAGTAACGTGACGTCACGTGCCGAAATAACCTTAATATGACGTCAAAATGACGAACCTGTGCTACCTTGTTTGGAGCACGCTTAACAATCAGTGTAATAAGTATGTGCCATGTAATATACGTATATGATAAACAGCTGTCAAATTTTAAAAAAGAATAGTTAGTGTACATATCAAAAAGTTGGTCCTCTGATTTCACACGACCACAACTGTGTGTTATGTCAATTTCCTGAAAGAAAACCTTCGTCGCGTCGTCTAGAAAAATGTCTAATTTTTACTTTTGTAGAAAATTCTATGAGCTTCCAAGAAAACACTAGTGAATTAATTTTTTGCTATGGTTTTCATTACAAAGGTGTTGCGGCAATTTTTTTCGTTTTATTTTTTTGCAACTCAAACTACGGAAAATATTGCTACAACTGAATGTACTGCGAACAATCATCTGTTTTTGCAAAGGCGTTTTGATTTATGGTGAAATTGTTGTGAACATTTACCGTCGAATCAGAATGATCCTATTTTTCTTGTAAACTGTTGAACTTGAAAAATGTTCTTGTTATGAAAATGAAAATATATACCAAAGATATTTTTTGTATACTAACGAAAGTGTATATTTTTGAAATGATTTCAGAAAAACCAACGATATACTGAAATTGGCCTATAAGCATCGATAATGAACATTATTCTTGTGCAATTATATCGATTTTTGTACTTAAAAAATCAGCAATATTTTTGTGTTTTCAAACATTCGTGCTCATCTTTTTCACTTAGTTATTTGTACTATAATTTGTATATTTTATTTTTATCTTGTACAATTTATATTTATACCTTTCCAATCATGTGAATAGATATTTTGTGTACAACCATTCTTTGTATTATAGACGTTATTTTTTATCGGAAACCTAGTTTACTGATTTTGTTACGAAGATGGCGGTAAATATAGCAATTTAGCTCAAACTTTGTACATATGAATATATCATGCAGAGAAGTTTTGAATAACTATTAGAAAAATACTGTTGCTATTATGTATAAAGTTTTTTAAGTCTTAACAAATAGCAATATTTATAAAACTTTGTGATTGTAAAAATAAACATACCTACTTATTATTCATTTGTTTTATTTGACCATTTCTCGTCGAAATCCACCATTCTGGTAGACAAGGATATACAGTAATAATTAACTGCAAGATCTCATTCACAGCTCGAGGAATTCGGCATCATTCAGCATGGGGCAAGCGAATCATTAAGACAAGCGATACTGAGGTTACAGTATCCACGATAAGTTATTCGTTATGCCCTAGTTACAGTGATCAACAGCCAAAAAATATCCTAAATAAAATCAACAAAATATTACTATTTTTAATGTGCTAAAACCGGAATGAAACTTATTTTTTCAATATTAGTTCAAGTTTTAGAGATACGGTAATTATATGTGTTCCTGCTGTGACAGTGTTAATATACTGTAATTCACAAGAATGCACGTGCTACATTTTTATATTCGGCAAGCAGAGATGATGTAATCGGCATGATTGTGTTACGTTATACATACGTGTACATTATATTGTTTTATATTAGCCATTTTTTCCTCAGTTGGCTGAGAGCGTTCATGTAAGATGTCTCGAAAAAGTGTAAACAATCCAGATCAGTGTTGTTACGTGTGTGGTGATGTGACTTTTGCGTCTCAGAGACGGTCTATTACTCCACTAATAACAAAGGCATATCAGCTTTATTTCGGTTGTAAACTAGGTGATCAAGACAAACAGTGGGCACCCCACATCTGCTGTAATACATGTGCTTCAAGTCTGAGGAGCTGGTTAAATGGCAAAAAACGGTCTATGCGCTTTGCTGTCCCAATGGTTTGGAGAGAGCCTACAAATCATATTAATGATTGTTACTTTTGCATGGTACCTTGTGTTGGACAAGCCACAGGTATGTCCAAGAAAAAAAAATCGGTTATTAACTACCCAAACATACCATCTGCGATGAGACCTGTGCCTCACAGTGACGAAAATTCTATTCCAAAACCCCCAGAATCCTACACTTGCGAATCAGAAAACGAATCAGATCATGGCGATCGAGTGATTCGTCAGGAAGAAGATATGCCATCAACGTCAAGAGATCCTGATTTTATACCGAGCACGTCATGCCACCAACCGCACAAAATAACACAGTCAGAATTAAATGATCTTGTAAGAGATTTAGAACTTTCAAAATGTAAGGCAGAGTTACTTGGATCAAGACTGCAGCAGTGGTACTTGTTAGAAGACGATGTTTCGGTATGTTTTTCGTAAACGCCACAAAGACTTAGAACCATTTTTCAATATGGAGAATAACTTGGTTTTCTGCAGTAACATTAACGGCTTACTGGCGGCTTTAAGTATAAACTATGACCCAGAAGAATGGAGATTGTTTATAGACAGTTCAACATTGAGTTTAAAGGCAGTGTTATTGCATATTGGAAATATTTTACCATCTCTTCCTGTAGGGTATGCAGTTCACATGAAAGAATCATATGACAATATGAAGTACCTATTGACATGCATAAAATACGATGAGCACCAATGGCATATTTGTGGCGATTTGAAAGTTGTTGCACTTTTACTTGGGCTGCAGCTAGGCTACACAAAGTTTTGCTGTTTTTTTGTGAATGAGACAGTCGGGCAAAGGCACTTCATTACACCAAACAAAACTGACCTGTTCGTCAATTCCTAGAGCCAGGTCAAAAAAATGTACAGCATATGCCACTAGTAGATTCGAAAAAAAATTTATTACCACCACTGCATATCAAGTTGGGCCTAATAAAAAACTTTGTCAAGGCATTAGATAGAGATGGGTCAGCTTTTCAATACCTGCGTCAGAAATTTCCAAGACTAAGTGAGGCAAAGGTTAAAGAAGGTATTTTTGTTGGGCCACAGATTCGAAATATTTTGAAAGATACACAGTTTGAAAACACTTTAACAGGTATTGAAAAAACTGCTTGGAATGATATCCGTCTGGTGATCACTAATTTCTTGAGAAATAGAAAAGCTGACAACTATAAAATCCTTGTCAAAAATATGCTGTCATCGTATCAAAAGAGCCCATCAAAAGATGGGCTGTAATATGTCTCTTAAGATACATTTCCTACACTCACACCTGGACTTTTTCCTGACAATTGCGGAGCCGTAAGTGATGAGCACGGCGAACGTTTTCATCAGGATATTTCAACAATGGAAAAAAGGTACCAGGGAAAGTGGAATCCTTCCATGCTTGCAGACTATGGTTGGACTCTTGGTAGAGATGCTCCAGAAACGATCCATAAAAGAACAGCAAAAAGACAGTATATGAATCTTGTTACTTTTTTATATCCTTAAAAATAAAAAGTTTTTTTTCTAAACCGCAACTAATTCTTTATTTCATTGTCATTTTTGGATTCAGCGCCCCAAAATTAACAAAGAAGTGCACTTTTCCCACAAGATACAATTAAAAAACTAAAATTTGTTGTCCAGTGTTATATATATTAACTACCAATACGGTTGTCTCAATCCTCATTTCTATGATTGAGAAAGTCCTTTAAATGTACTCTAAAGATCTTGAGAATCTATCTTTCGTTAAAGCATCAGTATCTTTTCCTGAGGCTAATCAACAGCTTCGCTGATGACAGCACTCTACATGCAGGAATTCAGAGCAACAGACCGATCTCTGCGTGGCGATGAATTTCTATGGGTGGTAACGCTTTTGCGTGCAAAAATCGGACGACCGCACACATTTAAGCACCGCATCGCAAATAGGCGCTTCTTATTGGGATTGGGGAACCGACAAATACGATGGTGTTGCCAGAGTGCGCCTAGCGTCACGCGTGCAAAAGATACAGCAGTGAAAACCTTATCTTTGAAGCAACCCTCGTATATGACACATTTCTTATTATCTCCTGAAAAATTCAAGTTTTGTAACTTATGAAGTTTTGGAAAATTACGTACCCGTTCTATTCACGCCCACTTTGGTGGACGTTGCAGAGATATGCAAAAAAAATTCTAATTTTCATTGATAGATAGCCACAGTTTTAAACTTCTCAATAAAAAATTTCTGTTTTTGTCTCCTGCTACAAAAAAAAAAACGAAATTGGGTACGTTTGTGTATTTTGGTACGCTGGTTTCAAATACAAGGATGAAAAAATCCAGTGTCGCTGCTTTGAGTAGGGATATAATCTTTTTGGGTCTCATTGTAGGGGAGGCAGATTTATTTATTTTATCCATGACAGCTTGTCGAGATCGGTTAAATAAAAACAGTTACCACTTTAATAAATGTACAACCTTTATTTCTATAACACATACATATTATATGAACGTATTAAGTACAAATAAGAGAAAAAGGTCAGCGTGCTTTGCCGTTTTGCAAAAATAACATTTGAAGAGATACAAAATAGCATAGTATATATATCCACTTTATTAATATATACACAGCGTTACTAAGGAAAATAGCATTTAAGATATTCTTTCAATTCCAATACTTCAACATTAGGTTAGGGTAAATTTTGTACTTAACGGTTACGGATTCCTTATATGGAAGTAACAAAAAGACCAATCAAAACATTTTTCGAATACCCTAGATTTAATGAGTGTAACATATCTTTTTGAGATCCTCGAAAAAATAATATGTTTCGAATAGTATCTAATGAAAATAGTTTTTCTTATCATGAACATATTTTCCGATGAAAGATTTGCTTGAAATTTTCAAACGAAATGCCTCTGATGAAACAATATCTCTGCATTCACAGCCTTTTTGTTTTTTGAATTTCAGTTGCCCAAGACTGGCAACTAACCAAATGGCATCTTATACACAATTTAGAATATTTCCTTATTTCATGATAACAAGAAGAAGACGATTGATATACCCAGTATACAGAGGCATATTACAAGCTTATGCCCCTTTTTATAATTATTAGACATCAATATTGCAAACATCTTGACTATTTAGTAGAAATATAAAAAGAAGTATGCTACTTCTATGGTACACTCGATGAGACATATCTACTAACAAATATTGCGAAGGTAGATAAATTCCACATTTTTCCAAATACTAATTCATTAATTGTTTTTTCTACCAGCATGCGGAAAGTACTCATTTTCAACACGCTTATGCGAGCACAAAGTGACACTTTTCCTCACGCAGAACTTTTACTGCACGATTTCATAATCCAAATAGCTGTTCTTTTACTTTTAATAATGTTAACGATTATTATAAATGAATTATTGATGATGTTGATTTCACAATTATTAAATTTCTAATAAAACATGGTACGTATCTAAGATTCTAAGAACTTATACCTGACACTCCGCTTCTCGTCGACGAAAAGTAAGACGTTCCGCACTTGTTAGATAAATAACTATATTCTCTGATTCCTTTCAAGAGTTTTCCTAAATAGCGTGGTTGTAACTATTTTTAAACAAATATTTTCCATACTAGAAGTTTTACAATACTAAAATAACATTTATTTTTGCACATACATATTCCATGGAAAAAATCAGTTACGTATTTATAACTCAGAAGAAGAAGTATCAGACCCTGTATGTCTCCACAGATTTCACTTTACTTAAATATGGTAATTAGCTTTTAAACTCTATAAAAAACAAGAATGCTGATGACATATATAAAGATTTACATATTCTCATATCTTATATACATATATTGAGGCTTTCGGGGTTTTTGAGAACATAGGCATGCAAAATAAATTTGAAAATTTGCTAGGTCAAGTATATTTTTCCACCTGAAACGTAAAATAGCTAAGCAAGTATACTGTTTGGCCTATAGGGCCTCAATTCGGCAGTGGCAGCGTGTTATCCTTCAACTGGGATCGTGAACAGCTAATTATTATGCTAATTGATGTCGATTCAACACAGATTATCTAATACCAGTGTCCTATAAACTTTGATGGTATAAAGTTAGCGGAGTATAGAATATAATCCAGGTAGTATCTTTGCATGTAGGGTGAATGGGTCAATAACCCGGACATTACCAGTAGTCGGACAAATGTTATGTTATTGGTAAAAACTTATTTGAAATCCTATACTTGCTGGTAATTGATACCAGACTCACCAACTGATCCAATTCCTCAATTTTTGTCAGTTGTGTAGGGAATGACATAGGCTTTAAAATCAAGTAGAATCGTCAGCTGACAATATATAAATACTGTTCCTGTTAAGGCGGGTTTACACGCTACGTCTTATTGTACGTTTTGTCGTGCATACAAAACGTACGACAAAACTTCGATTTTGTCCAGTGTATACACACTACGTGTTTTACCTTCCGCTTTCTACTACAGTTCCAATCTAGACTCTTCAGTTGTGTGCAGTTTGGTTAGTGCATCTTTTGAGAGACATTTTTTTATTATGGAGGAAACAAATATAATGATACAACGACTGAGAGGAAAAGGGATGAAGAGAAAAAAGACAAGATGGTCAAGGGAATGGATTCTGGTATTCCCACGTCTTATTATTGATACAACGGAGGAACGAACTTGCGAATTATTTGCGAATGGATACCTCAGCCTGTTATTAATTGCTGGAGTTAGTAACAGAGATTTTTGATGCCCACACTTTTTTCAACTCTTTTTTGTAAATCGATTTCAACGAGATTATTTTTTTTCGTAACGATCTCTTCATTTGACATACATTCTATTTCTTCGTATTTTTTATAAGATCCTCACGCGACGTTTTTTAACACGGTCACTATATTCTTTATTTTTCACATGCCAGAAATACGAAAAACTTACACACTTCAATGAATTCCCCAGGAGAATAGTGGGTGCATTGCCTTAAGTCTGACATTATTAGGTTTTTGGAGAAAAAGGAAGCGAACTGAAGTGCAGCTACTCGTGAACCGAGCCAATATCGAACGTCTTGTCTGAAGTTGAGTCTACACGATTCGTTTTGTCCTTATAAACTCGGATTTTATTTAGATTCGGCAAGACGTACGTTTTGCTGTTCCTGTTAAGGCGGGTTTACACGCTACGTCTTATTGCACGTCTTGTCGTGCATACAAAACGTACGACAAAACGTCGATTTTGTCCAGTGTATACACACTACGTGTTTTACCTTCCGCTTTCTACTACAGTTCCAATCTAGACTCTTCAGTTGTGTGCAGTTTGGTTAGTGCATTTTTTGAGAGACCTTTTTTTATTATGGAGGATACAAATATAATGATACAACGACTGAGAGGAAAAGGGATGAAGAAAAAAAGACAAGATGGTCAAGGGAATGGATTCTGAAAAGAAGCTGGTATTCCCACGTCTCGTTATTGATACAACTGAGGAGCGAACTTGCGAATTATTTGCGAATGGACACCTCAGCCTATTATCAATTGCTGGAGTTAGTAACAGAGTTTTTTGATGCCCTCACTTTTTTCAACTCTTTTTTGTAAATCGATTTCAACGAGATTATTTTTTTTGTAACAATCACAAACACGGTCACTATATTCTTTATTTTTCACTTGCCAGAAATACGAAAAACTTACGCACTTCAATGAATTCCCCAGGAGAATAGTGGGTGCATTGCCGTAAGTCTGACATTATTAGGTTTTTGGAGAAAAAGGAAGCGAACTGAAGTGCAGCTACTCGTGAACCGAGCCAAGATCGGACGTCTTGTCTGAAGTTGAGTCTACGCGATTCGTTTTGTCCTTATAAACTTGGATTTTATTTAGATTCGGCAAGACGTACGTTTTGCTGTTTACACGCCACGTTTTATTGGATAGGATTTGTCCTGTCCCACAAGACGTAGAATAAGACGTAGCGTGTAAGCCCGCCTTTACATATGCCGAAGACCTTCAAAATTCACTAAATGAATTAATCTTAATACTTTAGCATCAGCTCAAATTGGAGAGGCCGCTGGCTATCTGTCTTTAGCTCTTTCAACTTAGAAACCATCAAACTTTTTCTCTTGGAATTAAACAAACCAAAATACAACTGAAGCCCCAGCCAGTGGACAGGCAGCGAAAGATAACAAATAATCATCGCCAGTGATATTGTGTCCGACTACTGGAATGAACGAATTTTCATAGCATCCCACTTCCATTTTCCCGCCACGAGACTGTGAAATAAAATTTCACATTTCCACTACATGCAAGAATGGATACCAGAAAAAAAATAAATTCTGTCTGGACACTGAAGGCAGGCTAAAGGAGACATTCGAAGGTGTGAGGAATGTTGGGAAATTACTTAAAATATATAAACAGTATGGCAGTTCAAAGTCGAAAGTGTAGGACCGGGTTAAAAAAAAAAAAACGCTTATTTCGTTTCTAGAAACTAACATATAGAAGCGAGCAAACATTCGGTGGTTAAACCTAGCATCTCCACCAAATGTGTTTCCAATGCAGGCAAAAGAGGAACAGCGGCATCACACAATGGGATTAAATTGGAAAAAATGGAAGTAAGATTTATTTGGTTTATACAAATGAATTTGAAGTTTTAACCTCCGGAAAGAAACGCAAGCAAGTTTTTCTCGACCTGCAAAATCCCAGCTGCACTCCTCACGAATATGTGCTGGTTCTATCGTTGTTGAGAGAGTGAGACGTATTACTTCATATTATCAGTACCTTGACTTGACCAATAGATTTGTGATTGTTTTAGTAACTTGCATCCTTAAAACTGACTTATCGCCAAACTGTGCAGCTAATCGCCGCAAAATTTTGCAATGTTTCAGACCCTTCCGCGACAAATATTTTAATTTAATATTTCAAATAGGCAACCCGAATCTGTGACATTCTTTACCTCTCACTTTTACCTGACACGAAATTTGCGTCAATGCGGCTGCATTAGCGATTGCGAGTATCGTGGTTTGGGATTGCTAGTCTTTGAGTAATTGAGACTGCTTCAACCATCCTAACATAGAAGAAGGCCTCAGCGAATAAACAGTAAGTTCCAATATTATGAAACCAAACCTATTTCCCATAAGTTTCTTGGATTTCGAGTAAATTCTAGAATAACATTCCATGCTTTATTCTGTCCTTAGTATTGCTATTGCTTTTCGACTAAGAAATCCGAATCAGAATGTGCCTCGGAGAAAAATACGAAAGTACTACCTGGACTAATATCTTAGTTCCTGCTGGCAGGGCGGTCCAGCCTTCTTGGTCATTAAAGCAGAGCCGCTTGTAACTAGTTATGTTCAAGCTGTTGCTGTTCCGATATAAAACTGACATTCTTGATTATGACCGTCTTCAATAATTGCCTTAAGGCATAAATATGGACGAGATGTCAGAAGAAACTTGTTAGACCGATGGTCGATCCAAATTCTATTTTAGTCAACTTCGTTAGTAGCATTTTATTTTATTTGCAAAAAATATAATCTCAATGTACTTAATACGTACAAGTCACGAATATCCGTTGAGGTTGCTGAAATTCTGAAGTTGCATAAATAATTTCGTTATCTGCAACATGTACTTTCTGGAAAAACACATTTCTTTGGGCTACTTAACGCGGGTTTCGCATAGGTATCTTTTACTACTCAAAAGTGTGGTTCATAATTTTATAAAAACAGAAGTTATTCTTGAAACCTATATGTTGTGCCCTAGCCGATTATTTTTTAAATGATCTAGTTTAGTATCAAAACAGAGTTGTCAGTTTGAAAAGTTTCTAACCTCGATACTCTGCAAACTTCACCTTAAACTTGGGGTCACTTCGTCAGTCGTTCCCAGAACTGTAGGACGCCTTTCTGGCCTCCTTGGTTTTCATAGATTTCAACTGTTCCGTTTCCTACGTTTACGTTTTGAGGTTATGTTACAAATATCTATTTGTATAAAATTTTTCATGCCTGAATTTTCTTACAAATCAAGAAGAAAACATTGTATCATAATAGAAGAGCGAAACAGTCGAAATGTAGAAATACCCCAGCCTTTCTGATGGTGAGAAAATACTATCAAAATCAAGGAGGCCAATTGTAGGAAGGACTGACGATACGGCCGTTAGATACAGCCTACAGGTTTCTAAAACTGTGTTACTTTAGATTGTTTAATAATACGGATAAAAGTAGTTTCGTGCTTCCAGATCGGACTTGTTGAGGTTACTTTGGAGGTGTGATAAATCGGTAAAAAGTGACGCAATATCTGATTGTTAAGGCAGTCTCATTTTTGAGGATAACATTTTTATAAATAGGATATGTTGATTGAAAACGATTCGAAAATTCACTCGAGTGAGAAAACAAAAATCTTTCGTGACGAATTTTGAAGCAGTTTTGCAATTCCTTATATATTCATTTCTATCTCTACGTAGTGTACTTTTAAAGTCGCGCCTTTATCTTAAAATGTAAGCTTCATAAACGAGTTTTGAGAGTTTCGCTCTCAAATGTATTTCTGTCAGAAAATATAATACATATATAGCACATAAATTACCTAGTCAGTTGATTCTGATTGTTGAAACAATGCATCTATACGTACGTAGAGCTAGAGACACAAAAAACCCAAATATGTAATCGTTTTATTCCACTGATCTCTGCAATGCAAATTTTTTCATCTCAGTCAATGGGCTTATGAGTTGCACAGTAAAAGCCCGAAATCATCAGTTCCTCGTTCTTTTATAGATAATGAATTTTCGACTATATTATAGCGAATAACAATGTTTGGTGTAAAATTAGCTCTACTCCGTCAGATGCACAAGTTAAACAATCCTCTCTTTCTCATAATTCGCGTCATTATAATAAATCAACATAGCTATGTAGACTAAGGAAAACATTCATTTACAAAGTTTGGTTATTTTGATTGAGTTCTGAGTGGCTACTAAGAACGTAAAGTCAGGTCAACATTCTACTGCCCAAATGATTCAAATCAAAAGAATTGGGCAATTGGCTTTGGCTATAATAGTATAAATCGATAAATTGGAACTAAGATCTTATAGATCGAAATAAGAATTGAAGAGGGATGATCGGATGCACCGAGCTAGTTTTTATTTACCCTTACATTATAGCTCATATAAAACATGACAGGGTTAAAAACATTTTATTTGGATTGCCTCTCCAGTAAACAAATTCAAATTTATTTGGATCAAGTAGGGATATGTTCGTGAATCTTGCCACATAGGATACACCAATAATATACTCGTACGTGGTGAGATTTCTCCTTCTGATAGGCTCTCGGTGAGGACGAAGAAACTCAATCCATGTATTTTATTGCAGGAATAATGTCATATCACCTTCTATATATGATTTATTTACTTATTCTTTCTTGAACCATGGCAGTGATTTTATGACAAATTTGAGCAAGGTTTGATCTTATTTTTTTCAAATTCAAGCCGAAATCGTTCAAAAAACATACATCCAACTCCACATGACCTTGAGTTCCATGTTTAGTAAACGATAACTTGAAAGAAAATGAAAATGGGTGATCCGAACTCGCATTTCTTCTATTCCATGGAAATAACCAATTAGGCTACAGCGCCAGCTACCAAGCAGCTTGTAGGATTGACTGTGAGAGGCAAATTCGGTTCTAACCACGCCTCTGCTCCTCTTTCTTTCAAGCTGCTCGATGCCCCCTCTGGTGGCATGTAAGTGGAACAAAACGGATTGGTGGGGCATCTCCAATCGGGAAGGTTGCACACAGCGTTGCCAGACGTACGATAATTATCGTTTCTGTACGATAATTTCAAGTACTGTACGATGTACGATACTATGTGTAGGATAATAGCTGAATGTACGATAATTTGGCGAATGAGCTTATTTCTCACAGATGTTGAATCAATCTAACAACTACGTTCAATTAACACCACAGCAAGCAGCTGTCAGTGTTGCCGCTTGGTAGACAAGCGCTCGTACCCCACTCTGTATAATGGGTTGCCTAGCATTGCGCGGACTATATCGGCAAACATCAACGCACGTTGCACATGTAATAATAATACTGAAGGAAGGAATGACGGCAAATTCGCAAGAATACCGCCAATTAGTCTGTTATCTATTCCTAGTAAACTGGCTGAGAGAGTCATTCTTGAGCGGTTGTAGGATTTTCTTGTGGAGGGAAAAATCCTTCAGAAGGAATAGTTCAGCTTTCGTAAAGAACACTCTAGTGAGCTGCAGACAATCAGACTGGTTGAGACGGTCACTTGCAGAGTAGTGGTATTTTATTGCTAGATATAGCAAAAGCGTTCGACAAAGTATGGCATCAGGCTTATTCACCGAAATTGCCCATTTTGGCTATCTGAATTACTATGATCCAGAAAGTTTCTAATCAAAATTGATAGTAATCCTTCATCGTTGAGGAGCATCAAGGCAGGAGTTCCCCAAGGCTCCTTCCTTGCTCCCACCCTATACCTAATGTTGACCTCCGACATTCCTAGTTTTAAATATACACAGGTATTCCTTTACGCTGATGATACCGCTCTGGAGACGTCAATACACTCCTAAGGGGTTGTAGACCGCCTTCAGGAGGAGAACTACTTTTGTGACTTTTGTATTTGGGTTAGATGATTGACAGAAGTTTAACCTGGAAGCTCCATGTTATGTCTGAACGAAACAGAGCTGTGGGGATTTTAAAACGACTCCACCCCCTGCTAAGAGGATGTCAACCTCTAATAAATTACTACTACACAATTCCATTATTAGGTCCATCATGAGATATGCGTGTGGGGCTTGGTGCTTTGTTACTAAGATGCATATGCACACGTGAAAGGTTATCCAACACAGAGCTCTTCGCTCCTTCACGGCAGGTCCATGGTATGTTTCACTATATTCAGATGTCAATATTCTTCCTCTCAGTGATGTCATCAAAGGACTTGCTACTCGCTTATACAAAAGCAGACAGCCATTTTAACCTTCTGGTAAGGGGGGATGTGACTTACTGTGTAGCTGATATTCAAAAACACAAACTTCCAAAGCTATAATAATTATTAATGCCCCTTTATTAAATAGCTGTGTTTTTATTCACAATTTCTGATCAGGATAGGTTTGGGCTCATTCTGTGAGGACCCATTTAGTTGGAAAGACGAGCTAGAGACCCACGGTCTGCATAGATGTCAGGTACATCCAATCGCTTTCTAGTTGCACCTCGCCGTCTCGTGAGCACTTATCACGGTACCACCGTGCGAGGACAGTAACCTATATAGATTGGAGATATCTTACCAATCCGACTTGGTTCGCCGCCAAATGAAGCATTTTGAAAGAACAGAGGAACACGGGCGTGAATAGGATTGAATTTCTCTCTAATAGACGATCCTGAAAGCTGCTAGGCTGCTAGTACTGTAGATTAATTTGTTAGCTAAGCTCCACGGAATCGAGGAGATGCGAGTTCGGATCCCGTCGGCGTCCTCTAAAGTGTTTGTTTACTAAACGTACTCGCTGTTGCGGATAGGCTCATCCGAAAAATCTTATACAGGCTTAAATTCCATTTTCGTTCGTTCCGTAACAGATGAACGACAACCAGCGCAGTGCATCAAACAAATAACGATAATAATAGATCATACACACGCATTGGCTAATAGCACCCTATACATCTTATTACGTTCGATATTGCTAGAACTAAGAGGCTAAAGTACCCTAGGTAGGAGAGATGGATGGAATTTGCTGAGTTGCAGAGGCTGGTCGTGCAGGAACAGTGCACCACCTCCACGTTGGCAGTACCGGTCCGCTTGAAACACTGCTTGTCGTCGTGGTCATCTCGGATGTAACCGCAACCACGAATCACCCTGGTTTCACCTTCCACTGGACAGAAATATTTTAGATTACGCGAGGTAAGTGATGAGACTGGCAACGTAGCGTTCGATCTGGCACCACTGGAGGTGCTGGGCTTGGAGGGCGGACAGGGGAACATGCGATCTGCTTTCATTACATACATTGACATAGTGGAATAGTAAGGACCGAGATATTTTCATATATGAATAGAAAAAAGTTATAAATTCATTTTTATGGATAAACAGGGTGTAAGGTTAGTAGTGGATCAACGGAAGTCAGGTGATAAGAGGGTCACAAAACTTATCGAATGAACCCCTATATCTGTGGTCCGACATTTTGTAGTTCAGGAGATACAGCAGACGCTCGATAATGTAAACTAATTTAATCCAAGTGTGGTTCACATTATCGAAATGTTTACATTAGCGAACGTGATTTATATAATATTTGATTTATCAAAAGAAACGTTTAATACATACTATTTATAACAAAATAAACAAATATTCTAACAGCGATAAGTATTTTTTTAATTAGAAGAAAAATAATTAACAATTTTTGTCTGCGTAAATTTGCGCTCCAATGCCTGCGCCCATAATTTACGAAGAACTAAAATATCCGTGTATGAAACTTCTTTTCTTTCAGCCCAATCTAAGCTTGGTTAAAAACTTGTATTGCTTGCGCGTCAGTCACTACACTTCTGACTTCAATGGGATCGTTCTCATCATCCTCACTGTCCATATCCTCCTCCTTATCAGCATCATTCGTCTGCTTATCTTCGTTCCATAAGTTAATATCAGCAGGAGTACAAACAATGTTGGAATTCACTGTTTTCAATAAATCAACAACATCCAATGACACACTAATAACATTATCATTATTGGATCGCAAACGTTCTCTAATTACGCTTAAGGGGACATCGTCTTCTTCATCATCTTCATTATTGGTACAAAAGAGATTGCTCCAACATTTTTGAATAGTTTGCTGGTTAAGTTCATTCCAGGCCATATGTAAATCTAAAACAGCTTCTCGTAATGTTACTTTTTTTAAAGCCTCAGATAAGTTTTCAGGATTCTTTGATAAGACAGACGAAAGTAGCAACTTCCTATAGTATAGTTGGTGAGTCTCATTATATTCTGGTCCATCGGTTGAATTAACGGTGTTACGTTGGGCGGCATGTACATGACGAAAATTGACCCATCCCTGCTCCTCAGTTCTGGCTCGGGAGGATGACTTGGTGCATTATCCAATAGTAACAACGCTTTTATTGGAAGCTTCTGTTGTTTTAGGAAACCTTTTACCTACAAATTGAAAACACATCTTCAAATTATGAATAGAGCATTTGTGATAATTGATTGTCATACCTGAGGGACAAAGCACCTGTGGAACCATTTCAGGAATATGCTGCTAGTCATCCAAGCGGTTTTTGAACAGTCATAATCAACAGGGATATTAACATTTTTAAATGAGCGCGGATTTTTTGCTTTCCCAATTACCAGTGGCTTTATTTTGTGTGAACCATTAGCATTAGTGCAGGCTAGAAACGTTATTCGTTGTTTCTCCGGCTTTCTTCCCGGGGCAGATTTTTCAAATGATGCAGCATAGGTTTTCTCTGGTAACATTTTCCAATAAAGGCCACTTTCATCTGCGTTGTAAATTTGATCCATTCTTAAATCTAGCTCGGTAATTGTTTTCATCAATTTTTCTTTGAATGGTTGCACTAATTGTGGTTGTGTTGATAATTTTTCACCAGATATAGACAGCAGTCGAATTCCATATCCTGTTTTGCATCCTTGTAGCCAGCCATCTCTAGCTATGAAATTTTCAGTTTCTTTCAGTTTTTCATTTAACAGTCTCGCTCTCTGTTTAAGTACTTTGCCATTAACTGGGACATGATTTTCCCGTTGTGTTAAAAACCACTTATACAGGGAATTTTTCATTTTAGGTGCCTTCGCATTGTCTAAAGTTTTTCTTTTTCCCGGACCTCCAAATGTATTGCACGTTCTTTGTAAAATTTCAGTTTTCATACGCTTAATTTTACAGATTGTTGCTTTCGATACTCCATAGTTTTTTGCTAACTGTGTCACTCCCGCACTTAGTGCAACTTCGTCTATGATTTTCACTTTCTCACTCAACTTTAAACACTTTCTTTTATAGGATGTGGATGCCATAGTCGTAAAATATATTAACACGTGCAATGTATTCACTTAAGTTCAAAAATGAAATACATACGTACGTATAAACGTATCCTAAACGATCATACGACTGACCGAGTTTGTCGTATTTTATCGCAGAGGTGAATCCCCTACACTCTACATCATAAATCGGGGACTCCCCGACGCCCGACATAAATCATCGAGGCTTCAGCATTTTACCGTCGCGCTGTTTCCGTGCGCCGAGAGTTGTTTACGTTATCGAGCGTACACATTGTTTACTTTATCGCGCGTTCCGTTTGATCGAAGTTGAACGAAGTTTGTGTTTACATTAGCGCAAGTTTTCATTATCCCGTGTTTACGTTATCGAGCGTCTGCTGTATTTGCAATTTTGAGAAATTTCGGAAGAAACAGGATAATGAACTTTCAATCGCAATTACAACTAAACCATCAGGTTTACGGCTTAGTTTTTTTTAGAGATGAGCTAAATGGTTGTTCTTAGCAATGGTTATGTCACTTTTTAACAAAGCTTATTAGAAATCAACGCAAAAAATTTTAAATTCATTCGTTTGGAGGGCGGTAATAAAAATTATTTATTTCATTATTCATTTTATCGTGAAAACTATTTCAATCCATATAGAATAAGCCCTGAAAATGTCAGCTTGCTACGATAAGTGTCTCACCTTAAAAAATCTGTTGTTTAACGCAGGTCGGATCTATACATATAAGCAAGCAATTCTATTTTACGATCTACAGTCCAAACGATTTGATGGATTTTGACATATGAGGTACTGTTAGATTCGTCCTAGCAGTGCAAGTGATACTGTATGCATTAACATGTTGTAATATCAAAATGGCGGATTTTTCACGCAAATAGCCAAATCAGCTTAATGAGCTTGGGCATTCAACTCGGCATTCCAGATCTACTACTAACTTTACACCCTGTACAGCTTGATTTATCTGACGACGTTATATCTTAATCTCATATATCTCAGGAACTAGTGAGCCCTACTGAGCGAGGGCCGTGGCAAATGCTTGTTCCGGAAGTTGTTGTATCCAGTATACAACTTCTTCCCGTCCAAGTGATTGTGCACGCGTTAAGGAATACCTCAGTACCGATTGCCGGGTGGCGGTACAAGTCCGCCAACGGGCCACTTTAGGTCTATTTAACATCACTAACACGTAAAAAGAAGGTGGTAGACAAGGACCAGTCGACCGAGGCAGTATCACCCGCTAATGATGATGGATCCCTCGAGCACTAAAAACTCCGGACGTAAACTCACTCCACTCTCGGAATGTCCGGGTGGAGGGTGGGCTCGAGGGAACAACATCGAAGATAAAATTTGTTTTTCGAACATCTGCGGGATCAACAGCAACATTGATGCTGTTCATCACTACCTGCAATCCAATCGTCCCGCCGTGCTTTTCTTGGCGGAGACAAAAATCTCAGAGACTGCACCGATTAACCATCTCAACTTCCCAAACTACGAGGTGCACTCCAATCTGAGAAAGAACGGGGGAGTTGTGGCTTTTGTCCGCAGCAGCCTTTCCTGCTCCAGGGATCTTTCTTTGGAATCAGACCGGAAGGACATTCTGTGGCTTCGCCTCAACTCCAAAACATCACCCAAATTTATTTGCTGCCTTTATCGCTCTCCCTCGAACCATAACTGGGATGACCTACTCGAATACCTCGCCGTCCAGATCGACTTCCTGAACATCAATCACCCCGCTTCAGAGGTAGTTCTTCTCGGTGATTTCAATGCCCATAATGAGCTTTGGTTGGGCTCAAATAAGACCGATGCAGCAGGTCGTGCAGTCGAAGCGTTCGCTCTTACTCAAGGGCTGACCCAGCTGACCCAGTACTACTTTTTTCCCCCGCGTCTCGTCACACGCCAGTAGCCTGCTGGATCTCTTTCTGACCACTCATCCTGCCCCTTACAGCACTGCTGTCCTGTCCCCCCTGGGTAACTCAGGTCACGGTGTTGTGGGGGTTAGGTTTCGGTCAGAAGCCGCTGTGGCAGCAGAAACTCGCACAGGCCGCAAAACTTGGCATTACGGACATGCCGACTGGGAGGGGCTCAGAGACTTCTTCTCTAGCTTTCCTTGGAGAGATGTCTGTTTCACTGACGCGGATGCGTCGACTGTCTGTTCTTCAATAACCGAAATTATCCACGTCGGAATGGAGGAATACATCCCTCACACAGTGAAAGTTCCTAAACCAGGGTCCAACGGCTGGTTCAACAAATCGTGTGACACTGCTCGCCAGCAGAAGATCAAGGCCCACAGAACCTACTTACAAAACCCCACTGTAGAGAACAGACAAGCCGACGTCGAGTCCAGAAACAAATATAACGAAGCGGTTCGCAATGCCAAAACCCAGCATGATATAAAAGTTAGGCACAGGGTAATGTCGCAGAGCAATGGCAGTCGGTCTTTCTGGACGCTGGCCAAGCAGATTGAAAAGAACTTCTCACACAGTAGCCTTCCACCACTTACGTGTCAGGATGGAACTATTGTATTCGACTCAAAGGCCAAGGCGGAAGTGCTAGCCAAGATCTTTGCTGCCAACTCCACCATGGACGTCCCCACCAACGCCCAAGTGCTGTCAATTCAAAGGGTTCCCCACACTATGCGGGAGGTAACATTCAGGCATAAGACCGTAAGACGAGTGCTCTTGTCGCTCGACATCAAAAAAGCTTCTGGTCCGGACTTGATTCCTGCCATTGTACTGAAGAGATGTGCAGCTGAGCTTGCTCCAGTTCTTTCGCGTCTCTTCCAGATATCTTATGAATCCGACACCTTCCCAGAAAATTGGAAATTTGCTCATGTACAGCCCATCCCAAAAAAAGGATCTAAAACCGACCCTTACAACTACAGGCCTATAGCTCTGCTTTCTGTTATAAGTAAGGTGATGGAGAGGTGCATAAATCGCGAGCTTCTGGACTACCTCCAACGTCACAGCTTGATTAGCGACAGGCAGTATGGTTTCCGGCACCAACGATCCACAGGGGACCTCCTAGCTTACGTCACGCAACTGTGGAGTAAACTCATCCAGTCTCATGGTGAGGCTCATGTCGTTGCTCTTGACATCACGAAAGCGTTCGATCAGCTGTGACACGCTGCCCTCTTGAGCAAACTTCCATCCTACGGCCTCCCAGAAAAGCTTTGCAGATGGGCGGCTGACTTTATCTCTGGCCGCAAGATATCCGTCGTAATTGACGGATTCTCCTCTTCATCCCACAACGTCAACGCGGGTGTTCCCCAGGGATCGGTCTTGGCTCCAACACTGTTTCTCTTACATATCAACGACCTCCTTTCCTGCACGATCGACCCAATCCACAGCTTCGCTGATGACAGCACTCTACATGCAGGAATTCAGAGTGACAAGCCGATCTCTGCCGCTGAGCTGGAAAAAAGAAGACTAGCGACGACTTCTTCTCTGACAAGAGACCTGGAGGCTATCACTGCTTGGGGACGCAACAATCTTGTACAGTTCAATGCTTCCAAAACACAGTACTGTACTTTGACGAACAAAAAGCGTCCTAGCGCTCATACAGTTTCGATGGACGGTCGAGTTCTACCAAAGAGCCATTCATTTCGGCTGGTCGGAGTCCAGATCACCGAGGACCTGATCTGGCACGAACACATCTCTTCAATAGCTGCAGCTGCTGGGAAAAAGCTAGGCTATTTGTTTAGGGCTAAGAAGTACTTTTCTCCGCATGACCTTCTCACTCTATACAAGACCCAGATAAGGCCCAGCCTCGAGTATTGCTCACACATTTGGGGTGCTGCCGCCCCGACTACATTGTCCATGCTCGATGCTGTCCAGAGGAGGGCGGTCCGACTTATCGATGACTCTTCTCTAACAGACAGTCTCGGGACCGGTGGGCCGTCGGCGATCTAGCTCTTTTCTATCGCTACACCAACGGGCTTTGCTCCTCAGAGCTCTCTTCCATGATGCCGCCGCGCGATGTGCCTGCCAGACAGACCCGCCTGACTTCGGCGTCCCATCCTAACCGTGTCAAACTTCGTACATCCAGAACTGGCCGATACGACCGCTCCTTTGTCCCGAGGGTGTCTAGATTGTGGAACAATCTACGGGAGGAAGCTTTTCCCTGTTCTACTAACCTTAGGCAGTTCAAAAATCGTATTAACAAAATTTCTTTGGGATCATCATAGCAGCCGCGGTGTTCCGGCATTTAGGCTTCTACCTGCGCGGCTGTTTCGATATATAAAAAAAAAAAAACCGATTTTGTTGAAACTTTGCTCAGTAGCAAGGTTACCTAGGAGTAACGTAAGACTTGTCCTACAAAAGAATAATATAAAACATCCAGGACCGTATTTCATCAGAATCAACACCTTTTATTAAGATGAATATCGGAATATTTGACTTTGTATAAAAAGCCAATGAATCATGCTTATTAATTATATAGCCCCAATTTGGTTTAAGGTAGCATTATAGCTGTACTGACTTTGTGTTTTCTTTCGCATGTTACATGCATTAATTTGTTACTCACAGCTGATTTAAGGGATGTTTGTTATCCCTTGAACGTGTTTTGTGTCTCATTCGATAGAAGGCAAAAAGTAAATCCCGAAACGTTAGCAACTTAAAAAGGGACGCTTTTAACAGCTATTCTATATCGTTGTTAACATAAGAAAATCACGTAACTCCACTTTATATGGCGTTTAAAATAGGAAAAACAAGTAATTGCGAAGTTTACCCATTTTCCACTTTTGTTTTGAAAATTTCAGTTTTCTTTAAGTATCATTTAGAAACTGCCCAACTAAACTATAATATTGCATTTATCACAATAATGCTATTATTCATAAAACAATATAATGCATGACTCAATTTGTTTTTACGCTTTTCTCTAAAATTCTTAGAAACGGAGTTACGATTTTTCTTGTATCATCGAAGATATACGAGCCCCTTCCCACTTCAGTTGGCGCACTTCAAGATTTGTACCAAAATATGCCTTTATGACGAAACTATTTACTTCTAAAACAGCTTATTTTCTCAAAAACATTTTAGATACAGTCTAGTCGTAAAAAATACATATTTGAAATTACTTAGACCTATAACTAAATAGAACATCTGAACAAATAAACAATGTGCGAATAAATGCGCGAAGTTAACAAAGCAACAATTGAAAGATTACCATTGGGTAACATCACCTTTATTTTTTATTACGGCTGAAATTCTTTGGGGCATAGTGTTAACCAGTTCGGTGATTGTACGAGCAGGATGTTGTCGTAGAACCTTGCTCATCTCGTGCCACAAAGTTTCAATAGGTGACAGATCTGGACTGCTAGAAACCCATTTCAAAAGTGGTACACCATTTTCTTCCATCCATTTTATAGCCGTTTTTGAGGTATGGCACGCTACACCATCTTGCTGAAACACAAAATCTAGGCCGTCAAACATTCTTCCATCACTGGTAAAAGCGATTCTTCTAAAATTGCCAAATATTTGTTTGTATCCACATTTCCATCAATAAAATGAAGTTTTCCTACTCCTTTTGATGACATACTGCCCCAAACCATAATGGATGGCGGAAATTTCACTTTTCTCTTCAGACAGTCAACATGGAATGTTTCATTTTTTTGCGAATAACTCTACTGCGACTGTCACCAACACAAATTTCGAATCGGGCCTCATCCCTCCATTGTATTGCACACCATTGTTGAGGTGTCCATTGTCTATGTTCTTTAGCTCATCTAAGCCGATTTTTCTTTTGCAGTGGAGTTAATAGTCGCTTTTCTTTGGCCTATAAACAAGTTGTGCAACTTTTGGTTTTTACTTCACTTTTTTTTATAAGAAAACTTACCCTGCAAGTGCCAAATCCCTGTTTGTGGGCCTCTCTATCAGTTGTGGACCTCGAAATTCTCCTTCCAACAGCGTCACTCCACAGAGCACTTAATAGTAAATAATTGGCACGCCTGTTTTTCACGATTATTCTTCTTAATGTTCTATTACTTTTTTTCACATCTCGTGGCTTAATATTCACTGAACCAGTTACGTTATATCTTCTAACAATATTTCTCACACTGTATCGCGATAAGTCTAACGAAGTTGCAATTTCTGAGTTTGATTTTCCAGAATTAAAAAATTTAATTATCAGTAACCGAATTTTCTCACTAATAACCCTTCCTCTGCCCATTTTGAAAACCTTAACTACCAAAAACTATTTTAAACGTATTCTGACAGCTGTGATTAATAAAAACAATTGTCATGGCTATTATTTTTCTCAGCCACCTATGCGTTATAGACTTATTTTGCATTGAAGTGAAAATAGGTTGATATGCTGTAATTGCAACATGTGTAATTTTTATGCTGCAAATTTGATTAGGGAGTGATAAAGTTGGTGTTTTCTACTATATATAAATATTTTAAACCTATAACACCCTGCTACATTTTTCATTATTTGTGTTTGATAAGAAAAAAACTAAGATTTCAATAGTTGGGCCAACTGAAGTGGGAAGGGGCTCGTATACCAAAAATCCGAAAAAATCAAAAGCACAATGCTTCCCCGCCAGTGGCGTGGAAAGTAAAAAAAACCTTTCAGAATCTATATAATGCCCGCCTATTGTTTTGAAGAATAGACTTCTTGTGTCTCTGACCCAAAGCTCTTTGGCGGATAGCTTATGAGGTACAAGTACATGGACATAAAGGTTGCCTACTTTTGTAACCTAGTATGGGCTTCAATTAGGCTTCTTACCTTTTTGGACGATTTTCCTACACAATACTGGGAAGTGTGGCAATCGTTTTTCGGAGCAATTCACTATTCCTATGGTGTACGGGTCAAAAGGATCTCCACACCTTGGATCGAACTTCGAGTTACAGTCATAGCACTGTATTGATGATTTGCTAACCGTATTTTGAATTTGTTGTTCTTGGGGAATATCTCTTATCGGCTTTTCGAATACTAGTTTTTGGGTTTCTTGGGCCTCACCTGAAATTTATACTACAGGTCAGTTCAAATTTCAAACTAATAATTACACATAAAATTACCAAGTCTGTGACCGTAACTTATTTAAGATTCAAGTATCTGGAATACAGATACAACGTATAAACTACGTATTTTCATCTTGTATCAGATATAGTTTTTTTAAATTGTATTTGTATCTTGTATTTAGATACTTTTTATTTGCTATCTTAGCATTTAGCAAATAGACTTTTGCTAAAATAATTAGGGTCGAATTTACTAACAGGAGATCAAAGGTGCAAAGAAGGACATGAAAGAAATGTTTCCATTTTACATTTTACAGACCTTTCTTTTTGTTGAATAATCTCTGAACTGGTTTTCTTCTAAAATTGTATCGGGTTTTCCAATAGGGACTTGACAGCTTTGAACTTTTACTGTGAACGCACCTTTAAATCAATTACCGAACTGTCAATGTCAAAACATTCAGTAAAGAAAACATTTTCATCATGGTAAAGTACACGAATAAACAACGCTTACAAATATACTAAGTGACATATAAATCCGAACACCCAGTTTAAATGGTTTTATTTTAATAAAACTTTGTATAAGTACTTAATGGAGCATAATAAGTAAATGATAAAAATTTCAAAATGATTGCACTGCTTTAAAGCTCTTTGACCTTTAATAATGTGTGAATGCACCCTGATGTGCTACGCATTCTCCAACGCGCCTAGGCATGCTTCCAGGCAACCACCAACTCCTCTCGAAGTGCTTCTAGAGTCTGAGGAGGACGTTGCAAATTGAGCAATCTCCTACCCGTCATATCCCACACGTGCTCAATTGGGGATAAGTCGGGAGATCTTGGTGGCCATGGTAACAATGTGACATCATTATGTTGAAAGAAGTCTATTGTGACTCTTGCAACATGTGGTCGGGCATTATCTTGTTGGAAAGTTGGATCTGCCAGGGTATCAAGATAGGGTAAAAGATGGGGTTCTAGAACTGCGTGGATATAACGCTGCGCGTTCATGTTACCTCTGACGAAGATTAAAGGTGACCTGGAACCATAAGCTATAGCACCCCAAACCATAACTCCAACAGTGTGATGAACATGTCTTTCAACAAAAAACTGTGGATTCCTCCTTTCACCACGTCGCCTTCTAACCCTGGCACGACCATCGTGCATGCCTAAACAAAATCGAGACTCGTCACTAAAGACAATACTGTTCCATTCCTGATCCCAGAGTGACCGTTGTCTGCACCACTCAAGGCGATTACGTCGGTGTTCTCGAGTTAAAGGGAGGACCCAGTGTGGCCGGTATGAAAACAAGCCAAAACTTCTCATTCGTCGGTAAACACTTCGCATGCCAATAGGTCTGTTGTTCTACAGCGGCGTCCAGTGCCCCTTGCTCTTTGCGTACGGCCTTCTCGAAGCCATGCCTGACAACACCTAACCACAGTGTCTACACTTCTTTGCACTCTAACTGCAATTGCCCGAAAATAAAGTCCAGCTTCCCGAAGTCCCACTATACGGCCCCTATCAAACTCACTAAGTTGACAAAATCGTACAGGTCTCCCTACTCTAGGCATCGTAACCGATCGTAAAGGATGTCAAGAACCAAAATCCGCCAACGTTGATTTTTTACTGCTGCTGAAATATTCATTTTTAGAGCGTTAGTGAATTAAAAACAAGCAGTATAAAAACCGGAATGTCCAACTGATCAGGCTTAAAATTTTTTCACTTGTTATTTACAGTAAGATAAATACATTCACCAACTTTTATTAAAATAAAACCATTTAAACTGGGTGTTCGGATTTATATGTCACTTAGTATAATTGAAATTTACTACCGAAATTCCGGGTCGGTGACTGCAACTTCAGGAGCGTTAACGTCAATTTTTGGTCTTAATTCTCGTCTCAGTAGACAAGCAATTCATATTCTAGTAAAAAAATTTTAGTCAACATTTTCGCCGCTGGATGTTCCCGTACCAGTGAGACAATAGGTTGGTCGAAGTGCCGAGAATATTGCTAACAGAACGACGTACGTTCTCGAATTGGGCTCTAAGAATGTTGCAAGAAAATTTTATCGCAAAATTATCTTCAGTGATGAGGCGCATTTTTGGCTAAGCGGCTTCTTCAGCAAACAGAATACGCGTTATTGGTCAAGTGAAAACCCCCATGTGCTTCAAGAAGCACCACTTCATCCACAAAAAATAACTAACTGTATGGTGTGGTTTTCATGCCGATGGTGTCGTAGTGCCATTTTTTTCCGTTGATGAAAACGTCACGTTACAGTCAACGGTGATCGCTACAGAGACATGTTTCAACGTTATTTTTTTGGTCAGTTGGATGGGATAGACATTAACGATATGTGGTTTCAAGAAGACGGTGCCACAAGCCACACAGCGACATATTGAAATCAAAATTCGAACGGCCGCCTAGATCGTGTAATTTAAAACCTATAGACTTTTTTCTGTGGGGCTACATTAAATCAGTGGTCTATACCAACAAGCCGGCGTAGTTAGAGTGGTCGAATTCCATACATAAATGTTTTGAGTATTCTTCAATTCAATAATAAAATTTTCGTGATATCTCAAATGTGTCTAAATCACATATAGGTGTTTAAAGTAATTTTTCCGAGAACAATCTCTATTTACCTTGAAGGACGACATGGGTACAACATCTACAAGGTGGGTTTATGATATTGTTTCTGATTAGCTAATGTTTGATGCAGTTTTACGAAAACGCTTTCTAATTGGTCATAGTTGATCCAGATCATAGGTTCTGATCTCCAATTCAAGTGAAAAAAGATATTTGTGTTATTAAACAACGTGATTTATAAACAATTTCTTGATTTAATATGGGATTAGTTCTTACATAACTCGTATATTTTCGCTAGTTTGAGAGATATTTTAGAAGAAATCGACTATATTCAGTTGACTTATTAATAGGAAGACTCCTTCTCATTGGTCTCTCATAATCCGGGCCAAAATTTTATAGCCCGCTAGTCAATAGTAACAATAGTAAAATCGGGCTTGGTAATGGTTACCCACATAACGCGTGAACTGATTCACTGGACGACAAATTTTAGTTTTTTAATTGTATCTTGTGGGAAAAGTGCACTTCTTTGTTAATTTTGGGGCGCTGAATCCAAAAATGACAATGAAATAAAAAAATTAGTTGCGGTTTAGAAAAAAAACTTTTAATTTTTAAGGATATATTAAAAAAGTAACAAAATTCATATACTTATAAGAATCACTATATGCGCTGTCTTTTTGCTGTTCTTTTATGGATCGTTTCTGGAGCATCTCTACCAAGAGTCCAACAGTAGTCTGCAAGCATGGAAGGATTCCACTTTCCCTGGTACCTTTTTTCCATTGTTGGAATATCCTGATGAAAACGTTCGCCGTGCTCATCACTTACGGCTCCGCAATTGTCAGGAAAAAAGTCCAGGTGTGAGTGTAAGAAATGTATCTTAAGAGACATATTACAGCCCATCTTGTGATACGATGACAGTATAATTTTGACAAGGGTTTTATAGTTGTCAGCTTTTCTATTTCCCAAGAAATTAGTGACCACCAGACGGAAATCATTCCAAGCAGTTTTTCCAATACCTGTTAAAGTATTTTCAAACTGTGTATCTTTCAAAATATTTCGAATCTGTGGCCCAACAAAAATACCTTCTTTAACCTTTGCCTCACTTAGTCTTGGAAATTTCTGACGCAGGTATTGAAAAGCTGACCCATCTCTATCTAATGCCTTGACAAAGTTTTTCATTAGGCCCAACTTGATATGCGGTGGTGGTAATAAAATTCTTTTCGAATCTACTAATGGCATATGCTGTACATTTTTTTGACCTGGCTCTAGGAATTGACGAACAGGCCAGTTTTGTCTGGTGTAATGAAGTACCTTTGCCCGACTGTCCCATTCTCACAAAAAACAGCAAAACTTTGTGTAGCCTAGCTGCAGCCCAAGTAAAAGTGCAACAACTTTCAAATCGCCACAAATATGCCATTGGTGCTCATCTTAGTTTATGCATGTCAATAGGTACTTCATATTGTCATATGATTCTTTCATGTGAACTGCATACCCTACAGGAAGAGATGGTAAAATGTTTCCAATATGCAATAACACTGCCTTTAAACTCAATGTTGAACTGTCTATAAACAATCTCCATTCTTCTGGGTTATAGTTTATATTTAAAGCCGCCAGTAAGCCGTTAATGTTACTGCAGAAAACCAAGTTATTCTCCATATTGAAAAATGGTTCTAAGTCTTTGTGGCGTTTACGAAAAACATACCGAAACATCGTCTTCTAACAAGTTCCACTGCTGCAGTCTTGATCCAAGTAACTCTGCTTTACATTTTGGAAGTTCTAAATCTCTTACAAGATCATTTAATTCTGACTGTGTTATTTTGTGCGGTTGGTGGCATGACGTGCTCAGTATAAAATCAGGATCTCTTGACGTTGATGGCGTATCTTCTTCCTGACGAATCACTCGATCGCCATGATCTGATTCGTTTTCTGATTCGCAAGTGTAGGATTCTGGGGGTTTTGGAATAGGATTTTCGTCACTGTGAGGCACAGGTCTCATCGCAGATGGTATGTTTGGGTAGTTAATAACCGATTTTTTTTTCTTGGACATACCTGTGGCTTGTCCAACACAAGGTACCATGCAAAAGTAACAATCATTAATATGATTTGTAGGCTCTCTCCAAACCATTGGGACAGCAAAGCGCATATACCGTTTTTTGCCATTTAACCAGCTCCTCAGACTTGAAGCACATGTATTTCAGCAGATGTGGGGTGCCCACTGTTTGTGTTGATCACCTAGTTTACAACCGAAATAAAGCTGATATGCCTTTGTTATTAGTGGAGTAATAGACCGTCTCTGAGACGCAAAAGTCACATCACCACACACGTAACAAAACTGATCTGGATTGTTTACACACTTTCGAGACATCTTGCATGAACGCTGTCAGCCTACTGAGGAAAAAATGGCTAATATAAAACAATATACTGTACAC